AAACAAAAAACAACTTTCATGTCAAGATTTGGAAAAGAAGTCTTCAAAACACACGCCGCTGTTACACGGCTGACCTTTTTGTTGTGCCGGATCGAAGACGGCTCCTCCTCAGGTTCAGGTTCAAACTTTTTACTTCACTAAATCGAGCAGTCGTGTTTTTGATTGACTGTAAATCACTGAAGTAACGCTGACTTTAACGGAGAAGACGCTCCTTGCATCTTCATTTGTCAAGTATTGATACACATTTTTCTCTACAAACAACATTTTCAAGTTACCAGGCTGCATCAAAAGTGAAATGTTTCCAAGATAAAGACAATTTAATAAGCTTAACTCATTATTTTGTTCACATTTGATTGTTTGTTTGGTTATTTAGGCCCAACTGGAACAGGAAAAACAAACCCCAAAGGTTAATAGAAAGAGATGTGAAACAGACAACTCATGTTTGTTTTCTCAGTAATTCACCTGAAAGTGAAGCTTCTCTTGTTGTCGGACACTTGAATGATTTGACTCTAACTCTGCCACTGTTCATGCTTTTTATGACGCTACAATCCCATAATCTGAGAGCTGTAATCTGATTAGTGGAGCATGTTAAAGTTCGTCTTCTTAGCTGTTGGTTCGTTAAGACCTGCAGAAGTTAAACTATCATTTAGAGTCTTTACTGGATATGAACTCTTTATGTTTTGATTCAGGATGAGAGTTATTGATACAAAAGCAAACCTACAATTACAGCAGATTAACAGATTAAAAAGGACTTTAAATGGATGTGAAGTCATTTTGGTGGGTTCTCATCAGAATACGGCAGCCGTCAGCAGCCACCTGCTGGATGACACCTGGACCGTCCCGGCATACGTTTACAGCGGCGAATCCTCGGAGAGGGAGGACTGGGTGAAGAGGAGGAGGAGAGGGCAGAGCGATGGGAGGTTTTAATGAGGACCTCCATCCTTAAACCTCCAGAGGGAGGAGACCTGGAGGACTCAGGAGCAGCGAGGTGGTGGAGCTGACCTCCCTCAGCTGCTGCTGGGATCCATGACTCCCTGAAACCCTGACACCCTTCCAGCTTCTGCTCCCCCTCCTTCCCCTTTAGGTCCAAATTGAAGCATTTCAACTAAACTTTGATAGAGAGATATAACAGCTGATTCTGGTTAAAAATCATCCAGGTCGATCCTACTTTAATGTTTCCAGACACAGAAACAGACTCAGATCATGTGTGGACTTTCACTGCAGCCATTACGGCCTGCTTCTCTGTTTGCAGCTGAAACTAGTTCACTGTAGCAGTTCTGAACTTTTTACATAAACTGGATTAAAAAAAAAAACAGATCAGGGTTTATAAAAATCAGAAATTCAGTGTTTCGTCCACCTTATCAGTCATAAATGTATCTATCAGGATCTCCTGGTTTATTTATGTGTGTATGTAGGTGTGTGTGTGTGTGTGTGTGTGTGTGTGTTTGCTTGTGTTCTCACAGATAATCAGCAGCACAATAGTTTTCCAAAAGCTCTCAGTGTTGTTGTTTTTAACCGTGATGAGCCGTTAATATCACATAGTCCCTCAAACAGATGGTATGTTGTTGCAAAACAGATGTTATTTTGCATAGGAACATACGATGAATATGCATGCTGTATTAGTTCACGACACTGAGGGCCTCGCTGATGATTGGCCGACTCTCCCCTCTGCAGTGACACTGAGCCTTTAGACTACTTATATATATATATATATATATATATATATATATATATATATATTTTTTTTTTTTTGCATGATCATTGAGGGTCAAATGGTGCAGAAAGACAGAAATTGCACAATTATATCAGCAGATAATCTTCTATCCAGTTTATTTTGTGCACAGTGGTGCGGTAGTCACAACAGAGAGGAAAACACACGATTAAACGAGCTCCTGGGCCAAAGTGAGGGGTAGAGCTTCAACTCAGAAATACTGCTCCTAATATCAGCGTTCTTAAGTAATAAAGTTTTTGACCTGTACAAACACATTTATCAGTGAGTGAAATCCTCTAAACAGACATCTGCAGAGTTTCTCTGTAAAGGAGCAAACCACCGTTTTTGTCCTTCAAGACTTTATTGCAGAGCTGACCTCAGTTTCCAGAGACGAGGATTATTTCAGGGGTTTGGTGGTTAATATTAAGCAGCGCTGACACGGAGGCCCCAGCGCTCACTGTTGACAGGGAGGTGGCCCTATTGAAATGAGAAGAGACACACCTTAATAATACATTTGTCCCACAGGGGCCACCCATGCAAAGAAATGTCTGCTTCTGGAGCTGCAAGGTGATTTCAGTAATAAGAAAATCAGGAGGTTCAGATTCGATCATTCGTCACTTTAGACTTGGTTTGGAGTTTTGTCTCAAAAACAATATCTGATAAGTCTAAGAGAGGAAAGAAAAAACTCGTCTTCCTGCCCTGTGAAGGAACCTCTGTCTGTCTGTCTGTTTGTTGTTTATTCTCCGTTTGGTTGTTGATTCTCTATCTTGCTCAAAGCTGACTCATACTCAGGCGGTGCGTCTGATGAGGGATCGTCAGCAGGCGGATACAAATAGAGACAGACAGACTCGTCAACTGCCAGTTTGACCAGAAGCTCCCGAAATTGATTCATAAATTAGTGTCTGTCTTGCAGCGTGAGGAGTTTGAGGCTGAGCTCTGGAGGGGATTTTTATATTAGTCTAATAGAAATGAATGAGACATCAGTGACGATCCATCATCCGCTCTGACAGTGCGAGCTGCGGGAGGGATGCAGCGTGTTCGACCGTCACATATGTGATAATAATGCACTAATGCAGAGCCAGTGTCGTCAGGAGGAAGGAAGCAGGAGGTGGAGGTCAGATCAGAGAGGCTCCTTCTCGTCAGACTGTGTCCGCCGCTGCTGCTTCCAATGTCAGAGATGTAATTGGACTGTTGGTGTTCACGTTAGCCTGCTCATCACTATCATCACAGAATATTTCAGTGATGGTGACTCCAAATCTGACAGAGCTTTAAAGTGAGAAACTCCCCCTTAACAAGCTTCAATCTTACTGTTATCTCAGGTAACATTCGTTTCATTTCACACCACTGTGCTAAGATTTGGCAGATTTGGCAAAGCCCATTCCCTTAAACCTCTGTAAACAAAGCAAACTGCACCTTAAACTGAAGGGCTGCATGTCTGTGACTCTCATATTTTGGTGTTTTTTTTTCCCTCTTTGATAAGTTGCTAAAAGAAAAGAGATCAAATGAAATGGGAATATTAAGATCCAGGTTTGGTCCACCACTCTTTAGCAAGCTGAAGCAACAGAAACACGGTCATGAAATTGATCTGTTTGTCTCTGTTTACTCCCTAAACAGGTCGCCAAAGCTGAAAGCGCGTGATGAAGATTTCACAGTCTTCTACAGGAGGAGGTATGTGCGCAGATAAACTGACTCAGCATGAGGAGAACAGCAGATATCTTTCAGTTTGTGGTGTCTAAACCCTGAAACATAACATCTAAATAAGCATTTAGTTTAGAGTCTTGTTGGCTCTGGCATTATGTGTAGAGGGAGAAGCTCTTCAGGTGATGTTTTCGACACAGACTGGATTTGGCTAAACTGAAACCCAAACAGCTTTGAAGGGGACGTGTGTTTTCTTTTTAAATCAAGTTTTACCAAACCTCACCATCTTTCTGTCCCTCCAAAAGGTCCTGTTTGAGGCTCACTCGCATCATAGTCCAGAGTTTAAAACCTCTTCTTCTATAGAAAACAATATTAAATTTATAATCCAAGTATTTATCGGCAAAGTGCTTGAACTCGTCTTTCATCTCCGGCACTAAGTTATCTCCATCAATAAATGAAGGTGCTGTTAAAGCACAATCTTTGTGAGTCTTATCTCCACCTCTTGTTCGGGGCCTGGTTGGATTTCACCGCCCGAGGCTATTTTCTCTCCCACTTCACATCTCTGAGAGAATAAGGAATTCCAGTGGCAAAAGCAATCACAAACTCCAGATCAAACGTATCCTCGGCTGAATTCCCTGACAGACTAAAATCATTTGTTCCTCTCGCTAATGCTCAGCGCTGCGTCCCCGGAACCTCTCGTTCCTCTCAGCTGCTTTGTTTTATGTGGTTTCAGCAGCTGCGTCCTCAGGGCCGCTCTGTCAGAGCTAATATTAAAGTACACTCCAGCTAACTGCAGTAGCAGCAGCCGCTCTACACACGTCTCGCCTTTTCCCCTCCTGTTAGCGTCCTTTTTCATCAGCCTGCGAGTGAGAATTTACATTATGTCAAGCCTACTCTTACCGGCGAGGTAAGACGAGGTCAGGGGAAGTTATTTCAAAGCCGCCTTGAAAGAGGTCGTACAACGTCTTAAAAATGTGTGCAGCCTCGGTCTGACTTTCAACAGGAAAGGTTTGAGCAAAGTGCGTAGTCGGCAAAGGATGCAGGAACGTGGCTTCAAAGACAAAAGTTTTGTTATTGAATTATTGAAGAAATGAAGCCTTCTCCAGGAAACAATGAAGACGAATGAGAAGTTAATAACAGACCACAGCTGAAACCATGATTAACGAGGTGATTCACCGATGATTTGGGCTTGAGTTTATTCACGTTAAACTGTCAAATATAGGATTATCCCACTTCATCTCTGAGAAGTTTGCTTTCATTTTTAGAAAACAAGATCGTCTGTCAAAGAAAATAAAATCCACTATGTGAAACTCTGAAATAGGACAAATGTTGAAGCATTATGAATAATTTTGGATGTCCTGTTTCACCCAAACTACACGAATCCTTCTTTTTTCTCATTTATCATTGTCATTGTTGAATTTGAATGATCTCCAGGATTCTTCAGCTTTTAACCTCCATTACCTTCCAAAAAAGCTAATTTATAACTTAAACACTGATCTCTTCTGATTTGATGGAGAATCAACCGATCAACACGCTGGTCTCTCAGTTTGTAAGCATTGTAAGGAAAACACAGACAGTATGTGTTAATAAAAAATCAATGTCAATATTGTATTTCTTAAAAATGTACAAATGATATTTACATATAACAGCACATCAAACCGGTGCATCGATGTACAAAAGAAATAGTCTGAATCTCTCCGATGTCTTCTGCTCTTCCGGCTGCAGGGCCATGAGAGCGATTTTTTCAACGCATGAGTTCATAATTCAGTCTCTGATGGAGTCTCTGATGCCTGACACTGAGATGTCACAGTTAATCTCAGCAGCAGTGCAGCAGTCAAATCATGGCTCACAGAGGGCGTGGACTGTAAACTATGATGATGAGGAAGAAGGTAAAAGTTAATGATCAGTTTTCTTCGGGAGCAGAAATGAGCAGCTCAATGGAGAATACAAATCAGCTCAAGTCATTTGACACTGATGACACATTCCTAACATGTAGGTACAGGATCATAACCTGGTTGCATTTTCACCTTTTTAATGTGATCATATGCACAGCGAGCATCTATTTGGCTGGGCCAGGCACTTAGTCAACTTTTCTCACAGCAGACTTATCCAACAACCGAAACGATTCTGTTGTTTCTTACTAAGGCAAAACAACAAAAGTATGGCTTTTCAAAGATGTAGAAAACTGCCATTTTAAATAGATCACATAGACAACTGTACATAGACTAACCAGAGTCACACATTACAGAGGTTTCTCGGCATTCTGTCACATTCATCTTAAGTTGGTTAAGATTTTATTGGAGTTCAAAATGAAACACGTGAGGCTAAGACATCAGGTTGAGGAACTTGCTCTCTTCTGATAACGCAGTTAGCAGTGAGCTCATGTCCCCGATAGCCATGTTCCCCGTCCCCGCTGGCACAGACGGCAATGTGACCGAGTTCCTGGGCGTCGTCAGGCGGGAGGAACTCCGGGACAAGGTCTGGAGCAGACCTGGACTCAGAGTTCCAGACATAAGGCTGGAGTGATCCCCATCATCCAGTATGCTATCAAAGTCTATCTGTGCCTGCTCCAGGGCGGCGCTACAGTCTACTGTCCTGGACACCTGGTTGTTGCCTGAACTGGAAGACATGGCATTGTTTTCAAAGGCAGGAGATACATGCTGGTCCAAGTTCCCATTGGACTCAAACACTTGGATCTGCCCTGTGTAGTGCATGGCATTGTCATCAGGGTTGTCGCTGCAATGAAGTCCTAAAACTCTCCTCGTGGATAATTTCGAAGAAACATCAAGATTTGCGTTACTTGCGTTCCTCGTATGCTGCATCACCTTTGGCCCTGGGTGGTGCCTGTTCGGAGGTTTTGGTTCTGCTGGTGGCCTCGGCTGAAAATGGCTCTGATTACCAGTTTGCAAGGAACTCTGGGAGGCCAAGGTGCAGTTTTGCTGATCTGAAATCATGACGGATCTATCAAGTATTTCAGTTTTAACTTGCACGGGCTGAAATTCAGGGTAGTGCATGTCAACAGTGTCCATGTCAACCGGCTCCTGTTTGCATGTGGGGCTTTGCGTGTTTGCAGTGACCGCTGCTGTGTTATTACAGCCTTGATAAGTGGTGTTTCCATTCTTGTCATAGAGACCCATGTCTTGGTTGAACCTGTACTGACAGCTGTTAACCTCATTGAGATTTGACAGCTGCTGGAAACTCTGCTGATGAAAGAAGTTTGATCCTAGCTCAGCACTTGGTTGTTTGCATCTCTGCATTATCTGCTGGTTGGAGCTGAGATCGGGGTGTAAAGATCCAAAGTTCTGGTTTTGCTGAAGGACAGCAAGATTTCCTCTAACCTGCGCTTGTAAATACTGATGGTTTGCATCCATGGACCCCAAAGATGTTTTGTTGCACTGACTTAGAGCTTTGGACTTACTGTCTACTGGTGAAGATGGAAACATCTGTCGCTGCTGTCCTGGACTCAAAACCTGATCGGATGGATTCATGTGGGAGTTCACTATGGCCATCCTTCTCTGATAATATAACTGCTGATGGAGATCAGGGTTTCCTTGGAGATCTCTCTGATTGGTTGACCATGTGTTGTTGGTGCCTCTGTTGTTGGTGGAGAGGTTTGGCTGCATCAGGTCTTCCTCAGGGATGTCACCTGTTATCATTTCCATTGGGATGTTCTCTGAAATGCTGGGGGGTCGTCGGCTGTAAATGTGGCGATGGGGACTCATATGAGGCTGCATGGTTGCTCCTCCACTCAGCGTGCCCATACTGTTGTAGCGTTGTAGATGAGTCTGGCTGAGAGAATCAGTAGCTACTCGTCTCACGGGGTCGCTGGCTCGGCGGGGGACGGTGGGTGGAGCCTCATGGGGCATCAAGCTCCGTGTGTTGTAGTTGCTGTAATGCCTCATAGTCAAACACTGATTGGCTGCAGAGGATTCCTGGGAGTCCCCGTACAAGGCTGTGTGGGTCTTCTGACACATTTGGTCCATGTGTGGAAGAGGTGTGGGAGGTGCGCCTCCAATGGCGGCTGCGTATTTGGCCTTGAGGCGATAGTGCTGGGCTGGGGTAAGGCTGAGGGGACTGGGTATGCTTCCTCCTCTGCAACCTCCCGCTCCCCCTCCACTGGATCCTCCACACTGGCTGGCCTGACTGGAGCGCCGTGACATGTCTGCGGAGATGGGGTCGTAGGAGTCAGCTGAGCTCACGTTGCTGGGACGGTTGGCACCAAACTGTGAGGCCTGGCTTGAGCGCCGACTAGAGTAGCAAGGGGAGATGCCTGAGGAGCGACGGCTAAGAGTATAAACTGAACTCAGGGTGCTCGAGGTACTGTCTCTGCGCTCCGAAAGGTTTCCCAAAAGGGTCATTTTAGTAGAACTCAGATCACCCAAGCCGGGACCAGGGAAGGACCCTGGGCAGCCACCCTTACTTTGATTCTCCAGGAGGGACCCTGTGGATAGAGAGACAACAAGATTAAACTCTGAGCAAAAAACGACCCAGACTGAACAGGATTATAAAAGAAAAAGTCATCTTTCCCCTCGGCTCACCGCTTGCTGGAATGGGTGGGAGCTTGGTGCAGAGCGCTGGGGGTGTCGGGTTGCTGGCCCATCGACACGAGTCCCTCACTGTCTTCAGCTTCTCCTTCTTCAGATGCTCCAGGCGCTGGCTGGTGCCAAACTGCTTTCGAAAGTGGAGACCCAGCACCTCCATCCCGCCAGAGGAATGGTCACAGCCCAAGGACTCGATGAAAGGCAGGTCGTCCAAGGTGCTGAGGTCCCCCAGGCTCCCCCCGCTGTGTGCCGCCATTTCTACTCCACTGTCATTGTTGGTGGCGCTGCCAAGTGGTGATGGTTCGCTGCTACATGATGACTGACCGCCAGGGCTGGACTGATACATCTACAGGAAGAATAGATGGATGGCAAAAGTAGGAGGGAAGTGAGTGAGTAGCAGGAAAAGCAGGACAAACACAAAAAAAACTGTTTCTCTTTGCAGAACAAAAGTAGAACAGCGGTTAACATGGCACAAAGAACAGTGAACCACTGAATCTTTAATCCTCCCCCAGCTTAATTGTAAATAATGAGTGTTTTTTGGGGATGGGGTGAAGAGGTGGGGGTGCACCACAGATTACAGACTGTCTTAGTCTGTCTGTGAATTAAAAATGGGCAGGATGAAAGGCAGCTTGAGTCTGAGCCAGGCCAACAATCACAAGATGTTTCTTTTTCCCTCAAAACTGAACTCTGATGGTGGAGCTTCTGAACATTTAGGTGAGTTAGAAACAGACATTTATCAGTGAGACGCCAGAGTCTCTGTTCACGGCTGGTTTTATCATCTACCCGAAGCAAGTGCAAAGGTTATTCTTCTTCTTCAGTCTTCAGTCAACATGTTGTGTAGGGTTCAGTATAATTCCCCCTTTAACATATATTTTTCTGAATTGTCCCTGACTAGCCTCACTATCCTCTCAGACACTAATTTATTCACCACCAAAAAAAGCTGTCTTGATCACAGCTTGATGGTTGGCTCTGTTTGCACTGAGCGCTCAACTCAATTCCCAGGGTCTGAATATTAATCCAGCAGTGGCTTTTATCACGATCAGGCTCTCTGACGTGTGTGATCGGTCTCCACTGCCTCTGTAAAGGTGAAGTGATGCACACACAGTATCACAGATCACATGCAGGATGAGTGTGTTACAGAAAAACAGGATCCCCCTGCAGATGCCGATGAAATGAGTCGTTGGATTTCAGAATCTTACACCATATCTAAATATTAAGCTAATTTATCCTGGGATTTTTGCTGCATTGATATACCGTCCATTTTCCTCTTTTCTCTTCATTATCGCATTAGATTAGAGCTGTTTAGTTATTGTCATGAAATGGCGAAAGATGGTGAACGATGGAGTAAGATCGATTAAAAGCTACAGGTCAGCTCACCTCAGTAAGGTCTGTCCAAAAGGTCAGAAAGTCAGAAACAGGAGAGAACAAAACAATCAGGCAGGACGCAGAGAGAAGTTTGGATAAAGAACGTTTGGTGTGCGTTTGTTAGTTTGCAGATTTGACAAAAACAACAACCGATCTTACCATCGAGTTTTCCGTCTTGATGGATTTGACGTGCAGGTATTCGTCCACACCTCTGGGGGAGCTGTTGTCCGATATCTTGTCCTCCTTCTGGATTTTGTCTCGGTTCCCCGCCTCGTTCTCGCCGTTCTCCCTGGGCGCCGGCGGCCTCGGCAGCAAATCGTTGCGTTGTTTTTTGGTGACGTGCGCCTCGGGGCCGTGAACCGTCTTTACGTGCTTCCTCAGCGAGCTGGGATCCGTGTAGCGCTTTGTGCAACCGGGGATTTTGCAGACGTAGGGTTTCTATCGGAAGAAAGACATTTTCAGATGAGAGGAAAAAGGAAAACCCCTGATTCTGAGAAAGAGTTTGTTTGATTTTTGTGCGTATTTTGTTACATTAACTGTGTTTTCCGCCCCTGAAGCAAAAGCAGTGATTTTCTGAAATGCTGCCAGGTTTCATTTTCTATTCACCATCTGCAGGTGGTCCCACTCAGCCGGGGTGGGAGGGAAAGAGGTCGGGGGGGGGGGGGGGCTTATTCATCCTAATGCATTGTGGGCTGTCGTGCTCATTATGTCTACACCTAGTTATTTACTCACAAATGTCTGCAGACATACACAGAGGCACTGAAGAAACAAACAGTCATTTACATCTGTTTAGAGCCTGGAAACAGGACAGGAACTTTCCCTCTGTGCTGGACTTGAAAAGTTCACTTAGTCAAAACGAAGGGTGGGCTTCTGTCGCTGTTTTTATCTTAATCTGCGTGTAGGTTTCTGTCCTGTCGAGTGTGTACCTCGTTGGAGTGAGTCCGGTTCTGGTGTTTGGCTCTGTCCGAAGCGTTTGAGAAGGCTTTGTTACATCCTTCATGCTCACAGACGTACGGTTTCTCTCCCGTGTGCGAGCGCAGGTGTGTTTTTAAATTCTCCAGCCGGGAGTAGGCCTTCGAGCAGCCCTCGAACTGCGGAGAAAGAGGAAAAAAAAAAAGACGTTAAAATGCTGCGACATTTGGCAGAACATCATTTATTTTCCAGCAGCTATTAGAAACAGATTCTCTTTCATTAAGAAACCAGTTAAATTACACTGATCATGTTTGTTATTTTGAGGGTTAGGGTCTTTTTTCAAGATTTCTGAATTTTTCTTCGCTGCAGTGAGATGAATCTTTCTTACAAAGGAAGAAAAATTCCTCAATCCTGCCGTGTGTCTGTGTGCGCAGAAATGTGTGTGGTTGTCGGTGTTTAGAGAGCGCGAGCTGCCGCCCTCGGGGGGCCTGCGGGGGCGCCGGGGCCATCCGTTACCCACCGTGCACTTGTGTGGTTTCTCCCCCGTGTGTCGGCGCATGTGAACCACCAGCATATACTGAGCTTTGAAGGGCTTCTGCTCCCGCGAACACTCCTCCCAGCGGCACACAAACTCCTTCTTCTCTCCGTGGATGTGGTCATTATTGATGTGCTGTGGGACGCACGCACACACACACACACACACACACACACACACACACACACACACACACACACACACATGCACACACAGAAACAGAGAAATGAGCGGTTTTCTGGAGAGAGTTGTCCACTAAGAGGCTCTCATGTTGTTCTCGGTAGGGTTTTTCTGTAGAAATCCATCTTATCAGTGTGCGTCTCAGAGGACGTCCGCAGCACAGAAAGTGTTACAGTCGCACTAATTAGCAGCGCCGGTTTCTTCATCGCATCCCGAATGAAAGTCAGGAGTGAAATCAAACATTGGCGCAGTGATGTCGATGTTTCTGGTGACAGAGAACGAGTCTGTAAATGTTTACTCTGTCGATGTGAAGAGAATGCCAGCGCAGCTCCTCAGCCAGAGAGAGAGTTAAGTAATGGACTTTATGAGAAATGTGCTTTTAATTTGGAAAAGAAAAACAACCCTGACTCATTGTTTTACAGGAATCACATCAAAGTCTCAGAGCCATGTCCACGATGATGAAACCCCCGAGTCTAGAATGCCACACATAGCAGCTTTACAGCCTGTAAACAGACACAAAGGTGAGGGGTTTTATGAGAGAATAAAGCAGAATGAATGACGGACAGCAGCCCCCCCACCCCCTCACTCACTAATCCCCTCAGCCTGCTCCCCCCTTTCTCTCTTTGCTTCACTGGAAGTGAGGAATGCTTAAGACCCTTTTACCAGGACTCAGGAAAACACAATCTGATGATAGTTTGGAGGTGGGATCGTCCAACAGGCACCGAGAACATGCATCTGCAAGACGTCAGTGCATATTATATTATAGTTTCACCAAGTAACTGATAGACGGGCTGGAAGTGGAGCTGATGAAAGCTGCTGAATCAACCTTGAATCTGAGGAAAAGACGGTTTAAAGAGTGATTGTTTAATCGAAGAAAGCTTTCTCCACTTTTTCTTGAAGACCTCTCTGATTAGATTACAAACAAAATACCTGAAGACATGATACAGAAAACTATCAGGTTATCTGTTACACAGATTAAATTTTTAATCTTAATCCCATGTTGATGCTGTGTGCAATCATTAATTTTAGATTCTCGTTCTCAGATTTTACGCTGCCTGTTCCTGAAATGTAAACAACCTTTTTCCGGGTGTTAAATGTCGGAGTGCAGTTCTGAGGGTAGATGGTGTTTGAAAGTGTATTTTAGTAACATATCATTTTGTTGATTCCTGTGAAATTTCTCCAGATTATAGGATATGTCTCATGTGAGGACAGGCCTTTTTTTCCTGTGTGTTTTCACTCACATGGACCAGCTGGTCTTGCGTGTCGTACTCCTTGCTGCATCCCTCCCAGTGACAGTTTGTCTCGTAAACGGCCTCCGGCTCCTGCTTACACTCGTCCCGGTCAACGTCGTCCTTCAAGTCCAACAAGCTGACGTGATGGTTCTATAAAAACAAACAAAAAAAAAATTCCGTAAAGATCAGATGTTTTCATAATCTTTGTTTTCTCCGCTGACCCACATTTACTTTTTTTTGTGAGGGTTTTTTTTTTTTCTCCAAACACACATGGAAGAGTTTACTGCCTAAAGTACAGCTGCGCAGAGTCCTAATCAGCTGTTAGTTCATGTGTTTTACCTGAGACAGTAAATTACAGATTAAAGCACATACAAGTCCGCCACGCTTCACCGAAGTTAAAGAGGCTGGAATCACATTTGTTTTGACAACCTCGACCACAAAAACACACACACGTGACTGTTTATAAAGCACAGCCCGCCTTTAATTAGGCAGCGTGATCCGTAACGAAGCAAACACTCAAATCCCACAAAATCATCTCTCAGTGTGTTTGGAGCGACCTGAAAATGTTTGAACTTGTGATCAGACTGGAGAGCCAGGAGACTTTTTCAACACGTTCAGACTTTTCTGCAGAGACTTTATATTTCTGCTTTAAGACTTCAAACTTTCTACTCTGACGGCACAAAACAAACACACAATACTCTCTACAATATTCTCACTTTCCCAAATGATTTTTCAGCGAAGCTCTCGTCTCCATGAGTTTAAAAAAATAACAGACACAAACATAATTTCAAAACTATTTGTACAATGTTTAAGAGCAGACTTTTAAAGCCAGGCTCTCTCCAACTTTTCCAGAAAACTTTTTCTGATTCTCAAACTGAGAAACATTATTCTTTCTCTCTCCCTGAAAGTCATCTTTTTCTACTGAGGGAGTAAAAAGTTAAAAATATAAACACTTAAACAGTCAAAAGTACGACGGGGTATTAAGGCCATATTAAGAAAAATATAAATAAAATGAGCCTTCGAGATTAAAATCATTACTAACAAGAATAAAGTCATAATAAAATCATTATTTACAAGAATTAAGTTGTAGTAGAATCATTATTTACGAGTCCGCCTGGTTCTTTCTGCAGAAAAGATGCATTTCTTGCATATGTCCTGATACTTCTGACAATGTGATGCTGAAACGTTGAAGGATTAAGTATCTCCTTGTTTGTGAAACCGAACTACTGAAGTTCAATTCATTGAAATGCTCATTTAAACAACTAACAACAGGTTAGATTAGACATTAGCTACAACGTTATCCTCGTAAATGAATTTATTACAACTTTATTCTCGTAAGTAATGATTTAAGTACGACTTCGTCTCGTCAATAATAATTTTATTACGACTTTATTCTCTAATATTACTGTATTACAACTTTATTCTTGTCAATAATGATTTTAGTACAACTTTATTTTCATAAACAGTTATTTTATTATGACTTTATTCTCAAAAATAAAAATTTTATCACGACATTATTCTGGTAAATAATGATTACACTACAACTTTATTCTCGTAAATAACGAATTTATTAAGACTTTATTCACGTAAGTAATGATTTTATTAATTTATTCTCATAAGAAATTATTTTATCAAGACTTTATTCTTTTAAGTTATTTTTTAAGTTTTTTTTTCTTAATGTGGTCCTAATACTCCGTCCTTTGAAGACTTGCCTCTCTGAAAATGTCAACACTTTAATCTCATTTTATTCTCATGTTTCATTTTCAACCTGAATCTAAAATATTAAATATAGTTAAAAATATACATTAAAAAGAAACTCATTCAAACTTGGTAATAATAAAAAATAATATCCACTCTTTTATAAAATGTCCTCAAGCTCTGAGTCTCCAACTCAAACCATCCCCTCAAAACAGTGAAGAAGAGAAACTGACAGTTTGTCCCTTACAGCCTCCTGTACGCTTCTTCCCCAATGCAAACACACACACACACACACACACACACACACACACACACATACACACACACACTCACACTCACAACGTGCTGACTGCAGCATGTTTGTCTGTGCCCCACGCAGCACGCTATCTTCATCAATTCTGGTGGCCCCAAGACGACTGCGCGCACCGCCGTCCCCATGCATCAAACCCAAACCTGCCTCGCTATCGGAGAGGAGCCGCAAATTTGTCAAAAGAGAGAAAAAGGCTCCTCAGATGACAATAAAGCCCGGCCAATATTTCATGAAAATGAAGTGCTCTGGCACAGTTTACAGTGGCCGCGAGTGTACGAGTGTGTGAGTGTGTGTGAGTGTGTGTGTAGCAGGGGATGCAAAGCTCTTATCATGTGGAGTTTCTCTTTATCTGAGATGTCTTTTACAGAGGGGGTCAGTGAGGGTCCCCGGGGCCGTGAGTGGAGCCGTCAGTGTCACGCTGAAGTCTCTCAGCAGAGCGGACAGATTTTTGGACCATCACTCATCCTCCAAAATCAAAAATCCATTAAAATGAAGTAAAACATTAAAACAAAAAAACAAAAGATGGTGTTTTTTATTTTTCATACCGGGGAGCAGGGAGTCAGCGGCCTCAGTCCCTCTGCTTCAGTCTTGACTTTTGACCTTTTGGTGATCATGGGGTCAACTGTGCTGCTGACAGCTGAGTCGCCACCGGGGTTCTGAGAAGAGGAAAAGAGAAGACATGCTAATAAAGTGCTTTTCTGCGTCCATGAAAATCAGACGGTGGTTGTCAATAAACCTGATTTTATCCTGAACATCAACAAGTGAAATCCGAACAGATCCTCATCTTTTCTCCGCCTCTCTCTGCCCCGGTTGCCTGTTGACCTACATTTGTAATTTCAGGCTGAGTCACAGAGAAGCGGAGAGTAAAACCACGTTATGACAGTGTAGGAGGGGGAATAGAAATGATGTGTTTCCCTCTGAAGCGTCTCCCCCACAGAGAGTACCTCCGAGGAGACGCTGCAATCACTGATCTGACACCGCAAAACAAAACACAGAAACGCAAACAAAATACACTCGAGGACAAACTGTTTGGAGAAGCAGGAGCAGAAAAAAGTCCAGGTTTGGATTCGAGTTTGTTCAGAGGTGAATTCCTCAAACCAAACTTACAAAGAAATCACTGGAATTACCATCATTTAAACAAACAACCTGTGTTTATTATTTTAAGACTCTCAGTGACACAAACTTGACCCTGAAAGTTCGAAACATGAAAAGTTTCTGATTTTATTTTCTTATTTAGACTCAGGAACATGTTCGGATGAGTTTCTGATCATGACTTTGTTTTTACCTTTGTCGACAGGTCATTGTGGGCAGAGGTCGGCAGGGAGGAGAGGCCGAGCCCGGGCTGGCGGCTCGAGAAGGAGGGCGGAGCCTGGATGAGAGGAGGGGTGTGGCCAAAGGCGCTGAGTCCCCGCTGCTGGGAGAGGAGCTGCTGGTAGGCCATCGGGTTGATGGGATGAGGGAAGGGGAAGGACGGGCTGCAAGGAGTAAAAGAAGAAGAAAAAAGTCACAAAGTTTCTGTGATTAAAATAAATAAAATGGATGAAATAATGAGAAGAAGAATGAGGAGATAAAATTAGGAGATAGGAACTAAGGAAGCAAAAAAGGAGGTATGAAAAACTGGTGACTTACCTGAGGCCTCCGACCGACAGGTGTCCGTAGGAGCTGCTGGCCGCAGAGCTGGAGCGAGAGTTGTTGATGTAGGCGACCAGTGAGTTCGGCGAGGTGCGAATCATCGTCTGCAGATCGATGCTGGCGTCCGACAGAGGCGAGATGGACAGAGCTCGCTTCCTGCTCAGGCGGGGCGTCAGTCTGGGGCTGGAGAACCTCGACACTGTGGGAACACAAGTGAGTCTCCTCATCAGTTCTCTTCACATCAAACTTTTCCTTCTTCCTTTGTGCCACGGCGCCTGATCTGTATTCATCCATGACCTAAAATAGTCCCGAACAAACGACCTTTTCCCACCTTTATATCATGAAAAAACACGACTAAAATCCCGTCGTTCACATATTTCATCAACTCTTCCTGCAGCAGCTTGTTTGGTGCACACAGCTCTCCACAAACACCTGCTGTCAGTGTCAAAGTGATAAACGCTGCACATCCTCATCCCTGACATGTAATCCCATCAAATCTGCTCCCCTCGGAGACTCGAACCTCTCTCAATCCAGACAAATGATTTCTCAAATCTTCACCTCGCTCCTCTCTACGGCTGCTGCCACTCGTCTTATTTGAGGATGGAGGCGCCGGAGCTGTGAGGAGGTGTGATGGATGCTGATGTTTCCTCACGGTGACACTCAAACCCCACAGACACAGAACAGCCCTATCAATAAGTGCTGTGGTCGAGGCTCGGCTTAAACAGCGAACAATCTGTTTACAGTGATGCAAACTGCAGCCGGCAGAGGAGAGCGTCAAATCGACCAAAAAAGGTTTCAAACTGGTTGAAATTTGTCCCAGTGACACAGATTTGAGCAGGAGGAGGTTCTTGGTTCCTCCTCACTCACAGGAGGATAAATCAGAAGTGAACCGTCTCTCAGATAGTTTGATCGTTGAATTCTGATCTAAAGGAAGTTTGGTGTGTCCATCGTGTTCGAGTCCAAGACAACTTCAGAATGACAAAATCCTATCTCCCTGCACTTAAACCCTTTAGTATGAACTCCAACATATCGTATCGTTTCATGTCGTGTTGAATCGAGTGGTTCTTTCGACGGGTGATAGTGAGAGGGTTCCTCTGAGACGTCATGAACCCCTTTGAAAAGGTGACAAACAGGTTCAAACCAAACTAATTTGAATACTAAAGTCTCATACAGACTTCTCTTTGGTTTTTATCTTCACAAACTTGAGCGAATTAAGCAGCCAAATAAATTTAAAAGAGGACAAAAGAATCATCTCTGATTCAAGGATGATTCTCCATCTCTCCGTCTGATCCATGTTTTGACTTGTTGTTTATGATTTTGTTCTCCAGTTTTTGTTCCGCCGCTCTGATATCTGCCCACGTGTGGCGACCTCATTAACATTCAGACATAACTAATCAATCTTTGCACAATAATTCCCTGTAATCACTTCAGATAAACATCGCACAGCCCGGGTTGTAGCTCGCGATGTTAAATGAGGGCAATTTACTGAGAATTGATCTCAACTGTTAGGAAATGTATGCAGAGCGATGCGATCGATCCCAGCTCTGAAATGTAAATGCAGATACAAGCGTGGAATTTCAACTCGGTGTTAAACACAGAGTCTAGAGGTAAATTAGCTTTAAAAAAAACACAGATAATTGGAGGCAAATGTGACAAATGTCTGAAATATGAAGTTTATAATGATCTTAAGCGGAGAGAAGCAGCAGAAGCTCGGAGCTCCATGATGATTATTTTCTCTCCATCATTTGCTGGATCTGCTCCGTCCTTAATGACTCAAAGAGCTGGAAGGTTGTTTCTAAGTGTGTACAAATCTCTAACATATGTTCGCTGTTTAGAAACTGCTGCTTTGAGACTCTGAGGAGGAGGAGGAGGAGGATCTGTGGAGTTTGAATGATGATATCAAAAATCTAGAGGAGAGAAACATCATGCTGGTTTCTCGAGGGGCTTTATTAGCAGAGACATTAATGTTTGGGGAGTGCGTCGGGGGGTCTGAGCTGCTCGTTTGGACTCTTAAAGATCTTAAGTTGAGCTCAGGTTGATGAGGAAGAGGAGGACAGAAGAGGACGGGGGCAGGTGTGGAGGATCATGTGTGTTTTTTTAATGTTTTTTTTCGTTATCGGTGATGGCAGCAGGTCGGTAAAGCCGTATTCATCTCTGTTACTTCCTCCCACCTCTGGGGAGATGTGTTTATTAATGTGCCACTTCCCCTGATAAATGGACCAATGGAAAAGCCCCGCTCGTCCAGCTCGCCACCTTACCACCCCCCTCCATTGTGATTTATATCAGCAGCCGCCATGAGAAGAGTGAGTGTGTGTGTTTGTGTGTGTGTGTGTGTGTGTGTGTGTGTGTGTGTGTGTGTGTGTGTGTGTGTGTGTGTGTGTGTGTGTGTGTGTGTGTTTGTGTGTGTGTGAGGCTGAACTGAACTGTGTGGAACCAGGAGGTTGCAGGTTCAAACGACGATGAGAAACATTTGGGAATAGAGGAAAGAAATTGTTTCTCGTCTTGTTGCTCGAAGGAAAGATGCTCGAGAATGAAATCGGTTTTTGCATTTATCACACAGAGGCTCGGATTATAATTAGAGATCAATCTTTGCAGGTCATAACGGCTCTCTGACAAAAACTAAACCTAAACTTTATTTCCACATGGAGGTGAAGTATCCTCTTCTTCTGTACGTGCAGCCTAAAGCAGATGTAACTCTTCTTCTGTGAATGTGTGGAGCAGAGAAATGTTCTCCGTTTGTCTGACAGTGTCAAATAGCCAAACACACACCGCACTTGGCAGGTAGAGTGATTTTTCTTCTCACAGCTCCATCCAACAGTTTCAGTGAATAACTTAACAATGACATTTTGGCGAGACGGAGACCGAACGTGCTTTCCGTTTGTTTTGGCCGCGGCGTCTGCACAGCGTTCAGGGCGGCTGGAGACTAAGTTATGACAGCTTTAGTGCGGCCGGCTGGACGGCTTCACTCCGCTGGCAGCCTGCCGGCGCTCTCAGCAGCGAAGTTTGGCCTCCGACACCAAAACACAGCGGCTCATTCACAAGCCTGAGCTCTGTGTGCTGAACCTGCAGGGAAGGGTTTGACCCGGACTGACTTCCTGCTCAGCCGCTGAGATCTGAGTGTCAGGACTTGAACGTTTGGGGCGTGATTCACCCAAAAAGTTGGACAAATAGTGACTTCTTTTTGTTTTTCTCCTTTTTTAATGTTTAGCTGCTCAACAGTTTCTGTATCCGACGACTGAAACTGAGCTCGCCTGCAAAAGTCCTCTCACAGCTTCGAGATTCAGTCTGTGGAAATTCCCTGAATCTTCTCATAAACATTTGACTTTATTGTAAACTTGGACAGGAAGTAAAAGTATCAGAGGTGTAGTTGGTGAGTATCATCATCACACAGACTCAGGAGGATGACGTTAGACTCTCTGGTGTTCATCATCAGGACTTCCCCTCCACCATCCGTCTCCCCGCAGACATGCCTCCCCTTTTAAGGTGCAGAGCGAGGCGCCAGATCAAAGTAAGCGTTTATAACTTTAAATATACCTGCCGCTGTGACCTAACACGTCGGCTATGGCTAACAAGTGAAATGTCACCGCAGCACAATAAGTCCTCGGTGTTTATGGAAAAGTGCTGGCTCAGGATCAGCAGCGGGAGAAACACTGAGCAGCGCTCGGCCGATACCTGAAGGCCCGTCCGCCGTTTGAAGTCGTCTGACATGAAAAATGTATACGAGCCCCTTTTCTTATTTATACGCTCTCCTGTGATCTTTGTTTCATCATCCACCTGAGCTCCACGGCCTGATAGGAATTTCATTCAGCTTAATCAGTGTCAAAGCCGCTCGCCGGACAGAGCGGACAGTGCCACTCGCCTCTAACAACGAGTCTAAAGTTTAAAACACCAGAACATGATCTGGATGTGAAGTTTTTCTTTGTTTTCTGTGAATAAAAGCTCAAAAAATCCACATTAAGTTGTAAAAACAGACCCTCACCTCTAAATATCTTACCCGCTCGGACTCTCATGTGATCTCGCAGCTGTTTGCCTGTTTGTTACTCACCGTCAATCGGGGTGATGTAGTCGGACAGGTGGGCCCCAGCAGCGGCCCCGGCCCCCTGCATGAGCAGCTCGCTGTAGGGGCTCCGGTGGCTGGCCATCAGGTGGTAATACTCTGCAGGACTCGCCCCGGGAGGAGGAGGAGGAAGCCCGAAGAGACCCCGCTCCTTTAAGTGCTCATGGGTCACTGTGGAGGGGAGAGAGACGGGGGAGAGGGGAGGGTGAGAAAAGGGTGAATTCCTGGTCTGTCCCGCCTCACGCTGAGGAGATCTCTGAATGGACTGAGGGGCCAGGGAGGCGGGGTCGATGATGTGCAACGGCCCGTGTAGGTGCTCCTACCCCACCCCCTCTTAGACCCCACTTTCACAGTCAGAGGGAAACTTTTGCAGCGAGAAAACAAGAGTTAGAAAATCGCTTCATCTCTCGATTTTGTTCATCTGTTGACATTCAACCGTCAGAGCTCATGAGAGTTTGATACGAAGTCATTTGACGTCTCCTCTGTCTTCTCAAAGATGGCGGCCTTCAAACCAAACACACCCTGCTTGTTGATCCACCTTCTGCACTCTCTTCTCCAAAGTGATCCTTCAGACCCCGTTACAGGCCTGGACCAAATACAGAGCAGACGTCCCGCTCAGGCTGACTTCATCGCTGCTCTTCCAGAATCATATTTCAGCCTTTGAGGAAAAGCAGAAGATCTTCAAATGGAGCTCTTTGGGAAAATATGACATGAGCAGAAGAGAAAGTGCCAAGGTTAGGGTTAAAAAAAACGTACAAAGACACCATCAAACAGAGCGTCCAGCTGATGACAGGAAGTTCTCCCTCATTTAACTTCCATGTCAGATGTCTGCGAGGAAAAGAAAGGTCACCTGGAGAACATAAAAGCCTCCGTCCCCAAACCCAAGGCCTCGTCTCTCAACAAGCCATTTGCATTCCCTCCTTCGCAAACAGTCCCCTGTACTTTCTCCTCTTGCTCAGCGTTATCACGGCCAGATCTCAGGCGCGGCCGCTTATTTAACTTTAAAAGCATTGCCACATTACTACTGACAGACTGTAAAAGAAGATTTATATTCCCCCCGCCGCCCCGCTCCAATCTGTTATTGTAATTCAGCTCCGAGGAAAGGGTTGTCATCGCGTCCCGCTGAATTTTGGGGGCTGGATAAGTATTTGCAAGGACGAGATTTTTCTTTTCATCGACCTCCACAGATTTTTCCTCTCTGTATGTATCAAAGCACCTGGGAGCACAGGTCAAGGTTTCCCCCCGCTGAAAAAAAGGATTCATGTTAAAGTGTTCATTCTGCTCCCTGCAGAGGATCTTTGTTTGAGAGGAGGTCAGAGTATCAGGCAGAGAGAGAAACAGGTGGAAAAGAAAGGTAACTTAGAAAGGAATCATCAGAAAGGAAAAAGAAAAGACTAAAAAGGGAAACAGAACAGCTGGGGGCCTTTTTTTCATCGCTCGTCCACAAACTAGAAGCATCTCCACTAGGGATGGGAATTGATAGATTTGAATCGATATCGATGCCATTATCGATTCAATCCTTTAACAATTCTCTTATCAATGCCTTTCTTTGTCGTCTTCGTCATCGTTACCCAGACGGCCCTCACCCCGGCCACTTCCACCTGCTCCTCTGGGGGGATTCCCAGGCGCTCCCAGGCCAGGCGAGAGATATAATCCCTCCACCTGGTCCTGGGCTGACCACGAGGTCTCCTCCCGATGGGACATGTCTGGAACAGCTCTAACGGGAGGCGTCCAGAAGGGGTCTTAACCAGATGCCCGAGCCACCTCAGCTGACTCCTCTGGACGTGGAGGAGCAGCGGGTTTTCCTCTGAGCGCCTCCCGAGTGTCCGAGCTCCTTACCTTGCGGAGTAAACCCATTTCGGCCGCTTGTATCCGCGTTCTTGTCCTCACCTATGGTCATCACTCAAAGTTCATGACCATAGGTGAGGATCGGCACGTTGATCGACCGGTAAATCAAGAGTCTCGCCTTATGGCTCAGCTCTTTCTTCACCATGATAGATCGGTGTAGCGTCTGCATCACTGTTGACGCCGCTCCGATCCGCCTGTCGATCTCCCGTTCCATCCTACCCTCAGTCGTGAACAAGATCCTGAGATACTTGAACACCTTTTTTTGATTTCTTTGTTTCTGCTTCCTTTTCGTACCCTCCGCCTCATTTTTTCCTCAAAGTCTCGGTTCCCGTTCGTGTAGACTGGCTCTCAGGCGACCGTTTTTCAAGGCAAACAATTTCGATGGATTGAACCATTTGGAACCGGTTCTCAACAAGAACCGGTTCTCAATTCCCACCCTTAACCTCCACTGAGGTGTGTTTAACTTGAACCCAAAACCCTAACTTTCTGTGACCCTAAAGATGGCGGCGTTCCAATTCCATGAAACCACCGCCAGGTCAAACTAAAGCTGTGTCGCGTCTGTCTGCTGAGCGAACTTACGGTCAGCGGGGCTGAGTCCTCTGGCGGCTGAGATCATGGACAGGGTGGGGCTGCCGTGGACCGAGCGCAGGTAGTGCTCCATGTGAGGGTTGACGTAGGGGTGAGGAGGGCTGAAGGGAGAGTCCCCGGTCGCCACGGCGGCAGGCGAGAGGCGGATCAGGGAGATATCAGAGATGACGGGGCTGCCGGTCAAACCTGCAGGGCTGCGAGAGAAAAAAAGAGAAGGATTGAGTTTTTCTACCAACAAAAAAAAAGTTTTTATAACACAAACAGGAAGAAACATCGCCTTTTTATCGGGGGACTATTTTTGGCTGTGGATGAACCCACATTTCGGGCTCTAGAGAGTCTTTTGGGCCGCAGGATGATGTATGTGAAAGTGAGGAAAGAGGATAAACAGTGTAGTTAGTATTTGTAGTGGAGCTGGACGGCACAAAGGAAGTGATAAAGTACATCAAAAAAACACTTTTAGTCCGATCCTTAATCTGGACCTTCTGAGCGTATGAAGCACAAAGTCCCTGCTCTGACACAACCACCTGCAGCGTCTTCGCGATCGTCTTCAGTAATCCACCTGAAAACCTGATCCTGAGCCGGTGACACAGACCGGTTCAGGAGTGAGATCACGTCTGAATCGAGCTTTAGATCTGAGAGTCGGAGGAGAGGGGTGAGTTCAGGGTCACGGAGACAAACAGAGGGGGAGGGAGGGAGGAAGTGCTGCGAGGTGACGCTTTCACCCGCAGGGAACTTGTTGGTGTCGTTTATCAGCGTTAGCTCATCCTGAGAGAGGAAAATCTGAGAGCCTGATTGAAGAATGTGAAAGTGTCACGAAAACCGCTCCGATACGACCAAACTGGGATTTCTGGCAAGCACTTCAGAGTTTTCCTGCACCCAGATGATGGTTGTTAAATCACCTGATGTTTGTCTGACTCCTCGGCATTCCTCAGATCACTCCATTCTCTTTATACCACCTTATTAAAAATACACCCATCTTTGTCCATCACCCTACAAAGGCTTCATTACGCCTCAGATTGTTGTGTTGCATCACGGCTGAGCAGTGTTTTGCTCTTTCTCTTTCTCCGCGCAGAAGACAAAGATCTAACTCTCCACCTAAAAACATAATCATCCCCACAGTCCGTTTGAATAATTCACGCTCTCATCATGTAACAGCCAGCAGGTGAGTTCTGTCCGTCTTTGAATCCAGTCGAACGGGGTTTGTTTACTGATAACAAGCTCCTCCAACAATCCCAGCCCGGATCATCAGAGGTGTGAGAATAAGAGAGGGCACTCTCAGTTATCATGTCATGTTCATGTATTCACACGGGCACGGTGCTGTGGGTGAGTTTCTGAGCGTCTGGGCCAACACAATGCTCGGCCTCTGGAGCGTGACCTTTTTTGGCGCCAGGCAGGCAGCAGGCAAAGACCGAGAGAGGTGGTGGGCTATTTCTGATTTTAACGCCGGGACAGTGGACAGAGAAAGGAAAGTGGGGAAGAACATCAAGAGAGAGGCTGACGGCTGTGATCATACAACTTTGTCTTCCAATATTTTAGGATTAATCGACGTTGAGAACAAAAGTCATCAAAGTCATCATTAAAAAGTCTTTATCTTTCCAAAGACAAGATCAGATTGTGGTGCTGAGTGTCTGACAACATGACAGAGAGGAAGACCTTTTTATGGAAGAGGAGGAGGATAACCTCTTCAGTCTGAAACATCACTGTCTGTAAACACGACGCTCTACTAGAGCTGGGCGATGTGGGAAAAGGTTTATCACGATATATTTTTTTCATATCAGTCGATATCGAAATATATCACAATATAAAAAATGAAATTTAACAGTGGTTATTGGTCGCATGTCTTTTGCAATAGAGTAAGCTATGTGTCTCTTCGATGTTTGGTCATAAAGCGGACTGAGTGGTCGGCTGTGGGTTCCTTGCTCCGCTCGGGCTTTGTAACCTTTTGCGTTGTGTGTTCTCTGCAGTGTGGCGCTGCTTTGGGTGGTGAAAAAGATTTGAGGTATTCCCCGACTTTGTTAGAACATGTACTCAACATAATTTACAGTACACATTACTCTGCTTCATGTCTGACCTCAAAAAACCAAAATACCTCCACTCCACCGACGTTTTCATGCCAGTGTTATCGACGATGTCGTCATTAGCACTCATTTTCTTTGTTTCTCACCAACAGTGCTGTCGGCTTCACCTGTTAAAGCGCTATGGTTGGGTGTAGCTGCTGTCTGCTATGATGCAATTGTTCGCTACTTGGTTCTAATTCAGCACATGATTGGTTTCAGCGCAAAGTCGTCCTGGAGCAACTCCCCTTTTCATCAGCTATTCGTATAGTCTACCAAAACATGGCAGAATGCCGACTTTATAAGAATATATATAAACTATAAAAGAATATTGACCATGTTTTATTTTAATATTGAGGGAAATTAATTTTTGATATACATCGTTCTCGTTTTATCGCCCAGCCCTACGCTCCACCTTTTAACAGAAGAAGAATAACACACCTCATAGAGCTCACAGGAGTTGCTGCTTTCCCTCCCTGCTCTCCCCACCACCAACTCCCCCCTCTGTTCTAATATGCAAATGTTCTCTCACCTCTGCCTCGCTGAAACACACCTGGCAGATGTGGAACAGCTGAAACGTCTCAAACACATAGTTACTGGTGAGATTTCGAGGAAGTGAATCATGCGTGTCACCTCTCACACCTCCAGGCAGACATGACTTTATTCTCTGTTTTACTGCTGTTTACATTTGTTTTAACGGCACACACTGTAGCAGCTGCTGACATGATATTAAAGCAGTAATGAGGTGCAGGACTTCACAGTTATGTTAAAACACATACTCACTTTAGTCACAGACCTTTAACGTGGATTAAATTGTGATGTTGCTGTTGTGGTAATGGAAGGTGTTTTTTCCATGACTTGATTTGAAAATTGCTTTAAAAGCCATAAAATGTAATAAATAATATGAGCTTCTGTCAGCTGGAAGTAATCAGTCGTTTCATATTCATTTAACTCGACTTCATACCGATCATTTTGTCTCAGTTTGAGAAGTTTTAGGAGGCTGAAAAAACGACTGAAGATGATAATTATGATGGTTTGGTCAGAAAAAGGTGATTCCTCTTCTCTTTTACCTCCTGTACAAATGTTTCTGTCTTTTTGTTCTCTTGTTTGTATGTGTGTATAAACCAGCGTGTGTGTGTGTTTGTGCGGCAACACCAGAGATGAATTACAGTGTGACAGTGAGTCTCGTCTCCTGTGTTGGGCTCGGGGAGCTTTCTGATTTAGATAAATCACGCTGTCCGGTGTGGGGCTGAATAAACTCCCACTGTAGGTTTATGAGTCTGCCGTGTGAAGCGGACACCTCAAACTTAACAGGCACCCCCCCTCCCCCCATCCTAAACCCCCACCTGAATACCCCAAATACTCTGAACACCTTCCTCCTCCTTATGCAGTGGAAGAAATGACCTAGATACAAACAAACAGATCAGGACGATGCTGTAAATCACAATCCTGTCTCAGCCTGAAGTTTGATCTCATGTAGTCGGTGTCTTTGCAAAATATTTACAGTCAAATACAAAAGCAGTGATGCTGGAGAAACTAAAAGTCCCTCCAAACTGAGTCAGAGATCCAAAATCCTGACATCAGAGAATTAAAGAAATATTGTTTTCTGTCTCTCTCTCTGCAGCCTCTCAGTTGAGCCTGAATCTTTTAACTAAAGCGGGGTACAAACTTAAAGATAATCAGGCTGTTTTTGTCCCGATTCTCCCCCTACCGACCAAGGACGACAATCAGAAGATTATCTTATGTCTTCTAAGATTATCCTATAAGATTATCCTGAGGTTCGAGGTGGATTAAGAGTGAATTTGTCCCCATAATTGGGTCCGGGGCCGACAATCATAAATATTAAACTTCATGTGTGTGGGGAAAGCCGATGACTCCTGAGTCATGAATGTAGCCAATCGAGAGGCGAGCTGACTGAGGAACAAGGAACCAAATAAAGCGAATAAAAATAAAGCGTGGCCTACGTGAGAACGGGATTTTTCCGTCATAATACTCCAAAAAGCACCACCATTCCCTCCTCTTGTGTGTCCTCTTCCATGTTGTGTCGTGTTTTTCCCAGTTGTTGCTATGTTTCTTCTTCTTCGTTTTTGTTAGATCACATTTTATCACGCAAGATTTCTGTCTTGGAGGACTAGATTCTAATCTACTCAGATTTAAAAGATCCTTATGTGTGTATCCCGCTTAAAGACGGAAGTATCGGCCGATATCCATACCGATCCAATACTACTGCTGAATGAAAGAACTGTTTAACTTGAAGACATCAGGCTTGACATTAGCCTTGTTTAAAAAAAGGTAACAAAATAACACAGATATAAATTTACTTGATATGATTAAGTGACAAATAACAAATTACACACTGGCACACAGTTAAAGAAGTGAGACTTTCATGTATTAAAAGAAAAGTTAATTAAAAGACTTGATCGGTGTCATTCATCAGATGTCCGATCCAGATATCGTATCAGTGCATCTCTACTTTTAACATCTGAATTTAACAAACTTTAGGGCTCTGATGAAGACTCCATGTGACCCAAAGTGTCATTTATGCAGCCCCCAAGAACCTTCTCAACACAGGCTTTGTGCCTCGTGACGTAAAGTCCATACAAGAAAAAACTCACAACAACTTTATCCAAACTTTATATTTCAACCAAAGACACAACATTTCCAAACTGAGTCCATCAGACCCCAGTTTGACTTTGAGAACATGTCCTCGCTTTGGGACATGCTCATTGTTTTACTACGACGGTGTGAGGGCGTGAAAGAAGAAGAATTGAAAGAAATGAATGAACACAGTCAACGGTGAACAGTTTCTACAGTTACAACAGTTTTCTAGAGTCAGCGTCTTACACCCAAAGATGAGACAAGGTCGTGTTTACAAAGCTGAAATGAAAAGTCAGGGGTCCAAATTTTCAAATGAGTCCAAAACTCGGCTGGAGGCCGATTTAGAGGCAAAGTGCTGAGAGTATCTGAGGGCTCTCCTCCTCATTAGTCTTTTACATCCACAGATCTACGAGCTCTCTCTGAACTCTCCTCACAGATCTGGACTGTTGGTTTCCAGCCTCATTCTGTCCACAGAGGCACGGTCACAGAGGAGGAAGAGTACCCCCTCTTCCTCTCATCACTGTCGTCTGACGGCACAGCCAGGAAGGAAAAAAACACACACCCTCACTATCCAGAGGAGGGAAATCAGCTTCTCCACGGCTGCTTTTTATGACAGGCTTGACAAAATAACCAGGCCTCTCATTACGCTATATGCAAACAATGATAAAGAGCTCAGCGCAGAGATGTCATGTTAGACAATCAGGGAGGGGACCTCTGACACGCTGCCACCACCGGATAACAAAGTGCCGCACCAGGCGACAAATGACACCGCACTTAATTTGCTGCGCAATGTTCCTGTAATTAGGTGAATTTGGCACAGGCAGGGGGGAGCGACAGCTAGATCAAGGTCTTGATGAATTAGGGGTCCACTGTCAAGATCAAATCACATTAATCAAGGTGGCCGAGTCCACGGACAGCCGCTCCCCCTCCCCCTCCCCCCACACTCCACTCTCCCAGCCGCTGTGATGAATAGCCCTGCTCCCGCCAGGCGTGAAGTATGCATCACCATCAAATCTGTGAATTTAAATGTAAGAGTACTATTTGGAGAATTCTATTGACTTTTTTGTCCCGTGCTCTGCCAGTTTTTCTTCCTCTGTGATAAAGTAACTTTGAACTTCTGCAGGAAGGAGCCGGCTGCTCCGTCTCAGAGCGTCTCGGCTTATCAAAGTCTCCTGTGATGATTTACCAGCTGGACAGAGCGCACTGCGTCTTACAGAGGATGACTCAGAACATTGATTCATAAAATCATTGTTTCTCAGTTTGTATCCAAAGTCATTTCTGTTAGAGTTGTGACCCTCATATTTCTAAAACAGCGTCAAACCTGAACCAAAGATTTCAACACCGATTTTCAGATTTTTATCTTCTGAGAGTAAAATCGTTGATAAAAAAAGTGATCTTCTGCTGGTTCTGGTGACAAATGTGTAAAGCTGAATTTTGCACACAGTATTTTTTTTTATTAAACACTCTATTTTCCCTTTGAGCTGAGTTCCCCTCAGGAAAATAAATGGGAAAGCATCTGTTATTGAGCCCCACAGCACAGGCCGTGTGTGTGTGTGTGTGTGTGTGTGTGTGTGTGTGTGTGTGTGTGTGTGTGTGTGTGTGTCTGCAGCTCGCCACCACCACCACCAGCACTGCTGTTCTGTGACCTCTACACTCTGAGAGTTTAATTACGGCGTTCGCTCCAGGCCAACACGGCCTGCACCTCACAGATTAGCTGCACTACAAGCCATTAATGAATATAAAGAGGTTTGGATGCAGGTTGGATGTATTATGTCATCAGTGATGGATCCGGCCCTGCTGATCGCCGCTAATGGAGCGAGCTGACAGAGATTTATTTCTGTTTTACCTTTTTATTTATTAGGAAATGTAACGAAGTACATTCACCAAACTTTCAATTCACAACAACTTGAAATCATCCTCCACGTCCAATCAGCTCTCTGCAAGTTTACCTGCAACAAATCAACCAAACACACAAACCGAAACCTCAAATTCATCCGAAGCAGCTTTTCAAATCTCTCACTTTTTCGCTTTTCTGCAGAGATTTTTGGATCGCAGTAACGTCAGACGGCGAGTCGACTTCTGAAACCATCGGCGTGTTTGATCCCCAGACGGCTGGAGCTGAAAAAAGCGAAGCCTGCCCACATAATCAAACTGTACTGGAAACAAGGGCTGCAGAGGGGAAATTTAGAACTAGCATTGATTATTCACTTTGGAAGTCAGCATGTTGTCATCTGCTTTTGATATTGAACTTGGCGAGCGCTCAGCTCTCATCAGCGCCCGCTAACATGCACTCTAAAGCGAATCCTCCAGAGTTGGAGAGGAAAACAGGCTGGTGCTGTACAGTAGTAACAGCATGTGAAGTCGAGATGATGGCTTTAACCTGCATCAGAAATCATCCTCCATAAACATCACCAACGAGAAAAATCAGGACACTTACCCGTGCATGGCGTGCAGCGCGTGGGGCTCATAGTGGTATCGCCCTTCGTGATGGCGCATGTCAATCGGGATTGGTGTGTGGAAGGTGGGAAAGATGTGGTGGGGGGCTGCAAGAGCAAGAAGAAGAAGAAGAAGAGAGAGTTAGACGAGGAAGAGAGAGAGAGAGTTCAAAAAAAGAGAGATTTCAAAGGCAAAAGAGCTACAATAAAGCAACATGAATTTCAGAGCACGCTGAGCACTTTCGTGTAAAATATTGGCACTATCACACAAGAGAAGTGGAATAAATAAATAATCAAAGTCCTCCGAAGAAATCCTACATCTTGAACATAAAAGATATCCAACCGGGCTTTTGACAAAGACCTGCAGCTAGACGCTCTTTGAACTAGACGGGATGATGGACTGTGTGGAGGGAAGCTGCAGCCCCGACTCAAACCGGGCCTGACAGCTCTGGGAAAAGCTTTCTTCTGCCCGTCCAAACAGCATGAGTCTCCTCTGGAGCTGCAAACAGAACAGCTAAACCTCTTAACTGACTAACACTCCCGTGTCTACAGTCAACACGCCGGGGGGGGGAGCTGTTCTCGTCCGTCATGTGACTTCTTCTGGTTGTTATTTTACAGTTTAGTGACCGTCTGTGTTTGCTTTTTGTTTCTAGAGCTGAAGAGAAAAGACGCAGCGCTCTTCACCCTCCATCACCGGAGCGAGCAGGTGAGAGATCATACAGAGACGGACATGTCAGGTGAGGAGAGGCTGAGACACTTCAGTCTCTAAAAACACCGAGTCCTACATTTCCCATGATGCACATGATGCTCTCTTTGAACTCCACACTGAAAGGTTCAAAAGTTTCAAAGATGATTAGTTTGATTTAATTTGTCGCGATCAGACTCTTAGTTTCCTGAATAATTTGAATTTGTCTTCTTGACGGCTTTCCTGGCTGCATGTTTGACTTTGAAAAACAACAAATGTGAGTAAAGAAACAATTTTTTAGATTGAAGAAAAACCCTCTTACACTCAGACGCTCCGCTAAAAGGACTTTATACCAATAAAACCCGCTTTTATCCTGCTCTAAAGGTGAATTTCTGCTTCCAATTTAACATGTCTACGTTTAATATCCCTCTGTTTTTACAAGCTTTGTGTGTTTCAGCGTGCATCCTTTTAATGGCCCCTTTTATTTTTCATTAAAGTCCTGTTTTCCTCCTCTGGGTTCCTCTCAGATCCTGGAAGTTTATCCAAAACATGAGAACTAATTAGCTGTTTGTGATAACACCAGCCCAGTGCAGAAGATGTCGTGTCTTTATTTTACCAGCACATAAACGAAGCCTTTAAAGACTTTATGGAGTTATGTTTCCAGTTAACTTTCTTTTTTTCACTTCTTTATTTTGGAAAAGCTCCACCGGGGCATTGCCTAACTCTCCTCTCTCTCTCTCTCTCTTTCTCTCTCCATTTTCCTCATCACCGTCTACCTCGCACGCCCCTGGTACAGTTTTCACGTCCCGTTAATTGCAACCTGGTGTGTCTCCAGGAGAAGCAAGAGGGAGAAAAGACGGAGAGGAGGAGGAGGAGGAGGAGGAGGAGGAGGAGGTGAGCCAGCTGATCTCTGGATTGCATTAAAATTCTTCTAGACTCACACACACGATCTCTTACACACACACACACTCACACACACACTGTCCCTCTCTAGTGGGAATCTCTTAGGGTGACCTGGGATTTCAGAGCGAAGGGGTCAGGGCCATGGATCATTATCTGCTCTGGGCCGAGCGTCGGGAGGGGATAACAGGGCCTCTTTGGGCTCCTGGGGGCCCGAGACCTGAGTGAGTCAGCATTCCAGGTCCATTCCTCTCACTCTGCACGCTGACAGGCTGACGGACAGACCCGGTCCCCGAACACGCACAGAAATAGCTCCCTTTACTTCATTTTCAGCCTGGACCATGCCACCGAGGCCTGGAGGGACGAGGCTGGATCCCTTCAGCCCCCGCTCGACTTTAGCGGCGTTTAAACTCACCGCAGCGCCGGATTCTAGCGCCGGTCTTTTCAGCGATCACTCTGGACCTTTCGATGTGATTTCTTAACAAAGGGTGGATGTTTCTCCTCCTCCTTTTCTCCTCCTTTTCTCCTCCTCTCCCTGCTCTTAAGTGTGTGAAAGTTTGCACAATCATCAGTTGAACTAATTTCTACTCTAACTGAGTTTGGTCGTGCAGAGAGATAGACTCCCCTCGTACGTACAAATCTAAAATCAAGGTCAACATTCAGATAAAGAACTGTGGACCCTGAAACTTTACAGTTATACTTTCAGCAGCATTTCCCAACTTATCCGGAGAGACACATTTCTTCTTGTTTTTGACTTTTTGATGGACCAAACATCCTTGTGATGATCTTAGCTCGAGTGTCTGGATGGTGACTGTCTGGTGTTCGAGCCGTAAAAGGCCTCGGGCTCGTGAGTGTGAATGATCTCAAACCCCGTGATAAAGTCTCCACACCTGACCTCCTAAAGTCACTCAGCAGAAGCAGAAACGGTGTCCCTGAGTAAAGCTCATGATGGTCCATCTCCTGTTTTTTTATCCTCATTACATCTGTTTCTAACTGCCTTTAGAGATGCTGCAGTTTCCTCATATTTGACGTTTTCGTTTACTTTGAATCTTCTAATCCAAGCTCTCTTCTTCTCATCTGTGTTTATATTTCTATATTTTGTTGTCTCTGTCTCTTTTACGTCTGTATTTCTATCATCAAACTGTTTTTAAAAGTTCCTCTGTTCGTCTAGAAAACCTCTTTGCTTCATTTCTGCTCGGCCGGCCCTCTCGCTCCCAGACATTCTCCTTTGTAATTTGGTATAATTACCCTCTGTCTGACTCCATACACTGTGTAGGCTGAGTAGAGCCAGTATATATGGTATATATGTGAGAGTGTGTGTGTGTGTGTGTGTGTGTGTGTGTGTGTGTGTGTGTGTGTGTGTGTGAGGGAGGGAGCTAAAGGGCCCCATTCAAAGAGCGACTTGAGTTAATGCACCATTCATAACAGTTGGGGGTGAATTATAAGAGGGGGTCAGGGGGGAGGAGAAGGTGGGAGACAAAGAGCAGCTAAATCTGGGTCACCAAGGCGTAACGTTGAGAGGAAGAAGTCTTTAAATCCTGCGCTTAAGTACAGGTCACAGAGCGAGAGTGGAAAATACTTCAGTCCGAGAAGTTTCCAAAGTAAATCGTCGTAAAGCAGACCAACGTTTAGTTTTTTATTTTTTCAACATGAATAAAAATGATTTTAAAGGAGAAAAATATCTGATTCACAGAGGCAGAGTATTAAAAAGTGAAGTTTGTCTCATATCAGGTGTGATGGTACAAGACGTTTCAGTTCCAGAGCTGCAGAGGATGAGCTGCGTGAGCTTCCTGTCGCAGCAGAACCACCGATTTTGTTCACCTTTACAAAAATAGAGACTGGTTCTGCAGAGTTCAGTGTCCTGTCCAGTCTGAACACGTTGGACTTGGGGGGAAGTTACTCAGCCAGTCAGCCTGTCAAGTCTCTAACCGGTCCTCCCCTCATCCAGGCTGAGGTTTTCCTCTGCGGGGCCGGTGTTCTGGCCAGGGGGATTGACCAGGCAGGCTTATTCCATCACCCAGACAGCTCCATTGTTCTGCCGCCACAGGAAGAACAAAAGGCGAGCGCTCATGAGAGTTCAAGAGGCGCATTTACCTGATTCACTGGGCCCCGATCCCCCCTGGGCGAAGGCGGCGTCAGGCGGCGTCAGGCAGCAGCACCGCCGTGCCCCCGCGTAGGCTCCAGCCATCTATTAGTCTTTGCTTGATAACATTTGTTTTAGCGTCTGCAGGAGCGCTGCAGAGGGCCGGCCACAGTTTTTCAAAGTCAGACCCTGCAGAAAACGCTGCTTTCTTGTGTTCCTGCATGATCTTAAAGTTTACACGTCTCTAAGTTTAGTCCTTAAATTTCTAAAAGTGCTTACAGCAGCATGTCACTTAAAAACCTCTGAGTGTGTCTAACCTTGAACTTCCTCTCAAACTTGTTAAACAATCTCCCTTTACTTCAGATTTCATGAGCTTCAGGTTTTTGATAAGTCCTTTAGTCTTGGCTGGAGAGGCGGACAGGAGATTTCCACACCTTTAAATAAACTCCTGTGAATTTCCATCCCCGGTCGTCACTAAAGTTGGTGTAACTGGAGAAGCAAGTGGTTGTCAACATTCATCTCTGGAGGGGGGGTCTAACTCGGTGTTACAGTGGGTTTGAGCCTAACTTGATTTTGCACCAGAATATCCCTTTAACTTCACTTTGCCTTCTGTGACACGGAGCCTGTCGTGTCTTTGTTGGAGTTACACGGTGAGCAGCAGATCATCACTCTGCCTCCATCTGAGATTCACACGGACTGTGACAGCCAGACCAGACCAAAGCGAGTGGATTTGACTGATGTGAAGAAACCAGGAACCTCAGCAGCAGTGAGATCTTTCAGTCCTGCTGACCGTGAGAGAAGAACTTGAGGAACGACAGCAAACAAGGTCGTTCAGAACTGGAACTGGTCTAATGTCCCCAAGTAAAACATGTGACATCACTTCCTGTGTTTAACTTCTGAGGCTCTTTGAACATGTTGCTGTCTGTTCGTCCGTCCGTCTATCCACCGTTCTCTCCATCCTGATCAAACCTCTGTGTGGTTGTCGCTCGGTGGCCCCAGAGGTGAAGCACCACGGGGGAGAGTTTCTTATCAGTGTTGGACAGCTGTGCTCAGGCCACATGATAATAACCCCAATGCATCATGGGGCTGAAGGTGAGTTCACGGCGGCTGGCACAAACAGAACGAGACAGGCGGCGACTCGGTGCCTTCTCTGCTCGCCGCCACGAGCTGCGTGTTGTTAGCATGCTGTTTGTGCAATTTAGCTCCTTAAAAGACGGCGAGGGTGCGAAGACTGATTACACCGTCGAGTAATCACCCACCTCCTATGCATGCCTGATTTATCGGCCCCTCGCTTAATAGCACTGCTTAACACACAGGTTTGTCCAGATTAAGTAATTACCTGAAAGCTCAGGTTTATTATCTTCTCCGACGGGCCGGTGATAAAGGCCCGCTGTCGAGAGCAGCCAAAGAAAGACCCGCGAGCTGCTGAATGAGAGCGATAATTAAAATACAATGAATTAAATAGTCGCTTCTGGGGCTGTCACCGTGCACCCAAGCTAACATCCATATTACCCCGCTGGTACCCTCGCCAGGGGGGCGCCTGGGATTATGCCTCGCCCCGGACTGGTGAAGCAGCTGAGGGGAAACGACTCCAACGGGCCATCTGTAAATGAAACAGAGACCTAGTTCTCTCTGAAAAACCTGCGCGGAGAACCGTTTCCACGTTGGGTCTTGTTGTGGAGTCTTAATGAGGTGGAGGCCTCTGCAGGTTCAGACTCTGCAGAGAGGAGAGGAAACACTGGGGAGTCTTTTGAGTGATGCGCATCCTCTTCGCAGCCGTGATGAATGTGTCACAGGTGGGAGCAGAAGACATCTTTGTCCCGCTTCACGACGCTCACCTCAACAATCCTCCCGCTCCCCCCCTGAGGATGCAGAGACCTCCACTTGGATCTACAAAAATAGATCCGGTTCGGCGCTGTCGCATCAGCACTAAGCCGCCTCCCGTGTCGATAAACGCTCGGCTGCGCGCCGAAACAATCTGCTGAAGCAGGAAAGTCTCTATTTTTTAACCCGGCTGATCCCCTGACTCTGCCCTCGGCCGGCTTTATTTCACTGCCGCTGGTGTTTGTTTGACATTCTGCTGCCGAGCATGACGGAGAGCAGAGCCAAACCCACTTCCTCACTCTTCTTCAGACGGCCCGACCTCTTCAGCTCCAATAAATGTTTTCAAACAGACACACAGAGCAGAGGAGCCGACTCTCCGGCCCTGCAGAGGAAGTCTACACTGTCGGGAGTTTAGTGACGAGTTCAGTTTTCTCAATGATTCTTTGAAATCAAACTGGATCATTTGATCAGGTCTAGTGACTCCGACTGAACCCCCAATTTCCACCGCATACAGAACGGCTACGAAAAGGCCGTATCCGCTGATCATTGCTGATCATAACTATTTAAGTTAATGTGTCCATTTCTACTGACTTCAAGAGTTCTATTGTTTCCGGATGCCGGAGCATGGCGGATAAATTCAGCACAGATTAACCCGTGCTGGAAAGGAAGTCGGGCACAGACACAAAATAAAACATCCGTCTACTTTTCAAAATAAAACACTCCGAGTTTCAGGAGGATCATATTTCACACCATGCAAACGGGCTGAGACGAACAAGTGAAAGGTTTTTAGACGTCATTTCACCCCGATGACACCATGGATGAGGAGATGCTGATTCTAGAAGTCTAGAAGTAGATTTCCTCCTCTGGAAGGACACAATCTACTGCTTATATGTCTATGTGGCTTAAGACAACTTGTCATCACGTGAACATGTGAATCCGCAGGTTCTTGTGAGTTCACACGATTCCTGCAGTCTGTAATCTGCCACGAAATTCGTCTCACAAACGGATCCGGTTGGAATTGGTGTACGGTGAAAATCGACGGATCTTTGACTGTTTAAGGAGACGAGGAGAAGAGAGGACTAGAATTCCAACATCGGAATGATTTCATCCGTTCCGGATCTGATCCATTCCGGATGCGGTGAAAATTTGGGGTGAAAATAAAGAACAAACATCTCACTGGAAGTTCGTCTTGATTCGACAGTCGAGCTCGTCTGAACTCCTGCGGCGTATAAAACACTCCGAGTTGTTAAAACCACAAACTAAAGCAGCAGAGGGAACACAGGGCGGTTCGCTCTATTCCTCCTGACATCATGACCTCTGACCCCTGCCTCCACACGAAACCCTCTTCACATACACTCCAAACTGACCTCTCCCCAACAATACTGCTCCTTTCTCTGTTAAAGGGAGGCGTGTGGGAGACAGCTCGAGAGGAAACAATGGAGGAATAAAGAGACAGACCTAAAGGGAATTGACTTTCTAATCCTGATTAACACTTTCCCACTGCTGGGGGCCGCTCGCCGCCTCTCCGCTCCCACACACTCCAACGTCAGGATGCTAGGGGACACTTTGTCGAGAAATAATTTGTAGTTCAGTCAAAGGAGACGAGGAGAAGCGAGGACTGGAAATCCAACGTCGGAATGATTTCATCCGATGATCATTCTGAAGACCAGAGAAGGGGAATTACACCTCCATGTTCCCATCACTTAGAGCCCAAATTACAAGAACTGGACTCGGATTTGTTTTGACGTTACTCTCCACCGCCGTCTCTGCCCCGCCGCGATGACACGTTACAAAAAACTCTCCCATAAACAGGCTCCTCAGGAATCTGTTTGAGTTTAGTTTACAGGACCAGCTCGGCTTGTAATCTCGCTGAGTGAACCGAAGTGCTTCGTAAACACAAACTTCACCGCTAAAGGTTCAAACGGAGGCCTGTAGGTGTGATTGCAGCCTGAGAGGAGCACAGAGCAGATACAGAAACCTTCAAGTCGAGGTCTCCAGGATCAGTGTGTGAAAACTGAGAACCGTTGTTTATAAAGTCGGATATTAACAGCCGTTTAAGTTGTTCATTGAGACGACCCAGAGCTGCGCTGAGGTGTGCTGAGGTGAGTCTGTCTGAGAGTGAAGACAGCTGCTGGAACAGAGAGGATCAACAACACAGCTCCGAGTTAAGACGAGAGCGGAGGATGAGAAGAACCTGCTGCGTTTTTACAGATTTTAACAGAAAGCCTTCGATGGAATCTGTACAGACAGAAGTTTAAAGTTCTTTCTTATAGGAGCCGGGAGGAGCAGCCTCGCCATCTCCCCCCTCCTCTCCCGTCTCCTCCTGAGTGGGCCACCTCTGACCCGCACAATTCACCCTCTGAATAGCGATGGCGAGGGCCACAAAGCCCGGCAAACAGCGCAGTGTGTAATGATAAAGTGCCTCAACTGAGAGAAGAAGAAGAGGAAGAAGAAGAAGAGGCCGCCTCGCACAATGAGAGCACGGCGAACAATTAAACGCTGACTCGCACCTCGTCCTCTCTCAGCCAATCAGGAGCGGAGAGGAGGGGGGGAGCTGGATCACAGTTTAAGGAGCTGTGCACACACTGAACACGTGACTTAAAAAAAGTCTCTCTTAGAATAGAACCTAACATTAAATATGAAAATTAACTTTATCCCTGCGACACACTGCTGACCAAAAAAGAAACTGCCTCTGTCCTTGCAGCATCATTACACTCATACATCTGTCTAATGAGTTTCCTGTGACTCATACATCGACTTTCTCACTCCGAATGAGAGCAGCGCTCATCTGCATATTTCCTGACCTTCTTTCAGTCCCTGCTTGGCCTGGTTTGGTGGCTAATTAACTCACACAAACTCCACCAATGGCTGCAAGACGAAGCACATCAGGACAACAATTAGTCTGAACGAGGCGCTGCAGAAAAACCGCAGAGGAAATGTGCATGTCACCTTTCAGAATAAAAGTACATGTTTGGTTGGTTTTTATTCGTCTGTGAAGATAACATGAGACATTTCTGCTCCCAAAGCTGAGGGTCATTTTTGTGCAGATTTAGGAGGGGGGGACTTTGATTAGGAAATGAGAGCCCTGCTGAGGGGATTGTTGAAGGAGAGGAAACCTCCCACCTCCATCATCCCTGCTGGGTGTGAGCGGGGGCAGCGGGCCGCCTGCTGAGGGTTCATGTCGGCCCTCGTTGTCTCTCAGGCTCGTGTTACAGTCGGAGCTCGGCGTGTTTTCTCTATGAGGCCCAGCAGACAAGCTGTCAGCTGTGATCGAGTTTCCCTGCCAGTGAAAATGTGTCATTACACCCACTTCACAACAGTTTACACACCCAGTCCTGCAGCCTGCTGCTTCCTGCTGCTGCTGGAGCTGGAGGTGGAGGTGGAGACGGATTGATCCCTGAATGACTTTCTGCAGATATGATCACTTTTATCAGCCAGTTCACTCCACACAGACGTCTTAAAGATACAACCCCAGCGTAGACCTTCAGCTGTTTCAGGTCGTCTGAACAGCTGTGAACTCTGTGATCAATCTCTGACTGTCTGCTGCCGTGTGTTTGCTCGTATTATCCTTCAAATGCATCTTCATGGACTCGATCTCAGCTGATCCATCCTTCCTCCACCCCGCCCCTCGTTTTAATGCTGTGTCTATTTTTACCACGTTTGTCTTTGCTGCTGCTCTCCCTGCCTTGGCTTTGACCTCTCATGTACACACCTAAGAGGTCAGAGAGACTGAAGAACAAATTCAACCATCTTAACGTGGACTTTCTTCATGTGGACCGTCTCCTCTTCACGCTGTGGGACAGAATCTTCTCTGAAGGTGTCAAACCTGATCCTAAACTCTGACAGAGCTCTCTTATTGGACGTTTTATGTCATTCTTCGGCGCTGAGGCCGGTCGACGGGGGACTCATTTACTGCCGTGTGTTTATGATGGAAAATATTCCTCAATGATGAATTCAGAAAAAGACTGGAGTCATATTTACGGTGTTTTAACAGTTGCTTAGGGCCTCTGGCAATGCAGACGTGAGCATTTAAGAGGAAAGTTAGCAGCTTTCGAAACACAACACCTCTCTCTCTCTCTCTCTCTCTCTCTCTCTCAGACCGGAGCTTTAAACTCCACAAAAGTGACGACCTGGAGCTTCATAAAGATGTCTAATCACCAGACAAACACCAGGCTGTGTGTTTATCCTCACGTGCAAGCTTTGATTTCCAGTGTAGCCCGGCTAATTAGCCCTTATTGCTAATCTCCAGCTGCTTTCTGTAATACTTACAAGCCAATTAGCATGCCTCTTCTGGTTTCACTGTAACCGAGTCAAGAGCGTCGCTGCAGCTGCGAGCGGTCTGAGAGGGCGGAGGCTGCAGACCTGTCACTACCTCACACTGTGTCAACTGTAAATGTTTGGCCTTCAGAAATACAGAAAACAGATTAAGTTTGCAATAACATGGAATTAAGCTACTGGGGTTCTGAGTCAGAGTCTCCAAACATACAAGCCTCCTCCCTCAGAAAACACGGCTGTGAAAAAGTCGACAAATGTCTCCTAAATTTACGGCTCATGACCAACTGTCTGCAGAACCGTGTTGGTGGAGAAATTCTCATGTTGAAGAAAAGTTGACGAACTCTCAGTCCCACTTTGTAAAATTATAATTTTTATATGGAGTAAATTTTGAAATCCTGAAAATCTGCATCAGCATGACCTGAGTGTGAAGTGATCACTACTGTGTTAACCCCTAAACAATTACTTAAAGGGATATTGCGACCAAACATCTTTGGTGTTACTCTTACAGACTATAGCGGGGCGCCGCAGCTCAAGGAAGAACATTTATGATCATTTTTTTATCATTTCCTTGAAGTAATAATCATCATATTAATCATTTTACAGACGTGGTAGTTCTTCTGTCTTAGCGTCTTAGTCTGATTGTATTTCCATGAAGAAATGATCATAAATGTTCTTCCTTGGGCTGCGAAACTCCGCTGTAGTCTGTAAAAGTGGGTAAGTTGTGTTTAGTCTCTTTGCTAAAGAAATGAGTCAAAGTTAAAAAGATGTTTGGTGTCTAATACTATGTCTGTGACCCTATATGTCCTGTTGATGAAGTTAGGTGCTGTTCTGAGCATTATTTGTGGCTATAGAGTGGCTTTTTGGTTCAGTGTGTCTCTCTCTGTATTGCTATCCTGCGGTCGTTACTAAAGTTGGTATAACTAGAGAAGCAAGCGGTCGTCAACATTCATCTCTGGAGGGGGGGTCTAACTCGGTGTTACGGTGTGTTTGACATAAATTTTACGCCGCAGTATCCCTTTAAGATCCTCATGTTTGGTCTTTAAGAGAGGGAAGTTGTAACTTTTGCCAGATTTCCTTCATGCCGTAGTTTTTTTTGCTGCTGTCAGAAAGCCAGACAGAGCGAGAGGTGTCCTAAATGTGACATACCGCTCCTCAAACCTCCAAATTCCCTTCACACCAACTTTCCTGATACTTTTGTTTATCCTGCGACGGCTCAGGGGGGCCTGCAGACTGCGGTCGTACTGGTCAGAACCACAATGAGCTGCGAAAACCCCAGAATAATTCAATTTGTCTGCAACAGACGGAAAGTTTCTGACTCCTCGACTTCATCCAGGCTGTGAGAACTAAAGAAGTAAATCCCTGAAACTTCGGGCTTCAAAAAGGTTAAACTCCCCACAACCTCTTTATAGAGGACAGCGCAGTTTATCGTCGTCCTCTTCTGTGTTCTTAGGAGTAAAGTCTGACAGATACTTTGAGTGCTTGGGTTTTTGCTCCTGAGACAGAGGAAGAAAAATAACTAAAGAGTAAAGATGAACAAAAGCTGTATTCAGTTATTTTCTCGACATGAGCTAAATGTGCTTTATTTTATCCTCATGGCTGAATGTCTGTTTTGATTCAGGAGGAACTTGTTGTTGAATTTGTCACAGTGTCGGCCCCCCGTGTGAAGGCCTGCCTGTAGAAACGGCTCTTGGTGCTGAAACAGACAGACCTGGGACCTGCCCCTAAACCGCAGAGGCAACCTCTCGAGGGGGGAGGAGGGGGACTCATTTGCAGTCTGGTCGCCGAAAATGAAAAGGTGGGGGAGTTTTTTTTTTTGGCTTAATCCTCTCAAACATCCGTATATCGCTCTTCGCCGCAGTTGTAAATCTGCAGGAATGCAGCCTGTTGTTTTTGGAATCGGCGCGAGCGAACCTTAATGGCTCTGAGAGATTGATGTCTGCAGACCATGCCTGACGCTTGCGGTCGCATATTTCAGCGCCGGGATCTCTTCATTCTTAAATCGCTGAGAAATCTGACTGTGAACTGAGAACAGAGAGATGAGCTGACACTGAGCTCCGTACAGTGTGTCTGAACCTTCATCTCTGTCCTCTTTATTTGTGTTTTCCTCTTGAAACTCTGGAGTTCAGCCTCTGACTCCGATTAAACTCCTCGTTCCAACAGGTTTCAATAATCAACAGTTGATCATGTGCGAGCTTTTTGGAGGGATGCGCTGTGAGTAGATTTCCAGCTTCGCATTTTTAACTCCACGCTGGACGTCTCTGCAGTGCATCTGGAATTTCTAGGCCATGTTTTTACAAGTTTCCTTAATGACTCCTCTCAGCCTGAAAACAACTAACAAGTGAGGAGCAACTGAGGGCAGAAACAGGCGTGTGTTTCTTTATCCGCCGATCTACCACTCATCTAAAAATAGACTGAATATAAGAGAGAAAGAAAAAACTAAACTTTTCTTTTTTGTACCGAGAACATGTCATCTGGTGGTCCCTCTCTCTCTCCCTCCTTCCCTCCCTCCCCGGGGTAAAACTTCAGATAAAACAGGACAAGGGCATCTTGGAAAGTCATCAAGCTAAGTGTTTAGAAAGAGCCACAGATGTGTGTGTGTGTGTGTGTGTGTGTGTGTGTGTGTGTGTGTGTGTGTGTGTGTGTGTGTGTGTGTGTGTGTGTGTGTGTGTGTGTGTGTGTGTGTGTGTGTGTGTGTGTGTGTGTGTGTGTGTGTGTGTGTGTGTGTGTGTGTGTGTGTGTGTGTGTGTGTGTGCGTGCAGCAGGAAGACGGCCTCTGTGATTACTGGAAAGCCGTAGTGAGGGGCCGCGCTCAGGGGCCACCTCCTGCAGCAGAAACTAAATTTCTCCCCTCTCTCACAGACGGTGAAGGCTGAACTCGAGGCCGTCTGATGGTTTCTGTTCTCGTCTGAAAGTGAACGAATTCTCTCTGGTTGTTGTTGTTTTTTTCGGCGCCTCAGCTGAGCGCTCGCTCTCTCTGTGAAACAGTCGTATTTTGTGTGTTAGTGTGTCTGTGCGAATGTCAGGGGGCTGTTTTTCTGCTCCCTGGGCAGGGCCTCATTTAAACAGCACAGAGGAGGAGAAAAGAACCTCCACCCCTCCTCCTTTACCTCCTCCTCCTTCTCCTCCTCCTCCTCTTCTTCTTCTCAGGAAGATTAGTGGCCGTCCTTTTGGAGTAGGAGGAGGATGCTGAGTCTTTTTCGGGCGCATTTTTCTCTGCCAGCGGCTCTGACCCTCTGAGTGCTCTCTGTGCAGCTCGCCTTCTTTAACGGCGGGGGCCTTCGCATCCACCTACCATCAATTACTCGCTGTCTACCCAAGCCCACTTTACCGCCAGATAAAGAAACCCGCCCTTATCGCAAACACACCTCTCTTAAGACACCATTTACACAGCGCAGACCCCCATCTCCTACCATCTGACCGAGGGGCTCAGGACTCAGGATCCATTTGTTTCTAACAGGCGGTTTTTCTCCAGAATCTTAAACGTCTTACTGAATGACTGTTTCTGTCAGCGAGGATCTTCACTACATCCAGTCAGAACGGGGAAATGTCTTTAGCAGATTTGGACATCATCAGAGAGTTCTGCTCTTCTTCTTTTTCGGTCGTCTTCAGACCACCAGACTAAAGGTTTCCCCCCAAAAAACATCAAAATCACCAAATAAAGGCATTGGTTTAGATAACGCCTTTATTTCCAAACTATAAATGATGATCTTCCTCTTCCACTGTCCTGAAATCTGCTCTCAGATGTGCGTCTGTTTAGCCAGTTCATGTCCAATGCAGCCTTGGAGGTGCTAAGTACTCCAGCTCCCTCCCTGCGGACCAGCCCGACTCAGCAGCAGCAGAAAGACCTGAGCGGAGGAGGAGGAGGAGGAGGGGGCTCTGAGCGCGGCACATCAATCTCCCGCTCCGGTGACAAACTCACTCCCAGCAAGATGTATGTCATGAACCACCAAAGCCAGTTAATCAAATCATTAGCAGCAGCCGGTGTTTCCTCTGGCCTAGTTTACCGACACAGACGGAGAGGAGAGGGAAAAAAAGAAGAAGAAGACAGACCCCCTGAAAACAAAGACTCCTCTTCCTCCTCTAACCGATCTAAAGATGATCTGACGCCTGAACATTTATATCATTCAGGTAGAAAAAAACCTCCCAGATCATGATCTTCATCAGGATTTCTTGACTTTGTTTCTAAAGGGCCGTTCTGTAAAATTTCAAGAGTTCGATACGGATCTTTGGACGAAACTTTGAGGAGGTTAAAGCAGGACATTTTCAAAGTGCTGTAGTCAAATGTAAAAATTGTCCAAGAGTTTGTGAACGCCCTCGACGATCCGGTAAATGACCTTAGCTGTGAGCCAATCAGAATCCGGCTCCTCTGATCCGCTGAAAAAACAGATGGATTTTTTGAAAAGGCAATAAGTCTAAATTTATCCAATCCAGCAGAAATCCGATTTCCTGCAGAGCCTTAAAGAAATGTCTCTGGATTTGAATTTATATAAAAAAGGGAAATTTTCCTCCTAATGCGGCGCCTTTAATCCTCCGAGGAAACTGACACGTACATCAATAACAGCCGCTGGATTATTTGTCATTTTGCTGCTTTTCTCACCGATATTTCCTCTCTAAATACCCTCGGTTATTACCAATGGCTGTGATATCATAAAGGTCCCTGAGACGGCGTAAATCTGAGCGCCGAGGCTCGGCCTGTATAAGCAGACAGATGCGTGCTGTCAGAGGAAATACAGGCGCTCATTTGAATCTATTAACCAGGCAGCAGCAGCAGCAGCAGAGTCCCGAGCTCAGCCAGAGGAGGAGAGACCAAAACAGGGCCGCTGCCAGGCCCAGGGTTCTGCATAAACAGCACAGAACGGGGGTCCAGAAGTCACCACGCCAAAGTGTTTTTTATTATTGTGGCGCCGGTTTCCCTCAGTGTCCTAAACGTGATCTCCTGTAGGGACTCGGACGGAGCAGGAAGACGATGGGGGGAGGTTTGATCATCAGAAATTCTCAGATAGGAGCGTCTGGAGCACCTGGGTCCATTCTAATTGACTCGGAGCGTGGCAGATCCACTTTTTAAACAAAGTGACTCGCACTTGAGCTTCATTATACGTGCACCCCATTTCCATAGGCCTCTGGGAACGAGACCTGGGCTGCTCACATAAAATAAATGACCGCTCCATGATAAATGGTTCTATTAGCAATCCAGATTGTTAAACTGTGATATAACAGATCGGAGAGGGGCGCGGGGGCCCATTCATTTTCCTCCCTTCTGCACACGTACAGCGCTGTAAATAGCTTGTTTTTATGTGTAAATAACATATTAAAACTCGGCATTAGCCATGTCCTTTGATAGAGAGGAAATTGTTCTAAATAAATAACACAGGGCGGGAATATAAAACAGGGCGGGCTGTTATACAGGCGCCGTCGAGGCTCAGAGGTGGGCATGACTTAGGTGACAGGAATTCTGCAGCCAACAGTAAACAACAGAGTGACAATAAAAGAGCCTGAACAGCAGCCGTATATTAGAGAGGTCTCGTTTTCCTGCCTTTAAGAAGACGCTCTCGGGTTCAAGGACCTGGTCTCATCCTCCTCCTCCTCCTCCTCCTCATGCTGCATATTCACTTATCAGGAGCGGACAACAGGAATAATAATGCATATTACTGCCATAAGTAATTGCTCTGTCTCCACTCGGTGGCAGAACGTGGGGCTTTTTAACTCCGGGGCCTGAACCTGCTCACCGATATCTGATTGGTTGGCTGTGAATCGCAGCTTCTCGTTTATTTAAGATTAAAATACAGAGCTCTTCTACGCAGCTGATAGGAGGAAGAGTTATTATAGAGAGAGTTCTTATTTAGAGTGAGCGAAGATTAAAAAACCAGCAGCTGATACTGAAAATGGCGGAATATAAATATACAATAGAGTTCAAGTGAGGTTAGCCTTCAGGTCACAGCGTTACAAGGCACAGAAACAGGTCTCCTCTCCTTACTTCAGCGTCAGGATCCGTTTTAAACAGATTGTTGGTTATTATGAAAGAACGGCCTCTTCCAAAATCTTGGCACAAGTGACCCCCGACCCCGAGCCGACCCGAGACCATCCTTCTGAGTCTGCTCCAGCTCTGTTCAAATATTGAGGAAGATCATCATCCACATGTGAAACCGTCCTATATTTGTATTCTCCTCTGAACAATCACCGCTCAACGTCTTCATCATGGCAGGCCACCAAGTCCTCCACCAGAGAGACAACATGTCCCTGAATCAGCCGCTTTATTTCCATTTCAAAGTGTCCGTCACTCTGCGTCCATGTCAGTCTCTCAGACATCACGTCGTCCTCCAACCACACAGACTCATATTTTATACTCTGGAGGTAAGAGCGAGCTCTTTTAACCTCATTAGAAGCAGCTTTCATCACCCGCTCACTGACATCTTTAAAACAGGCATCTCTGTGTCGTCCTCACCTCTGCTGCTGAGTGGGAAAAAATAACCACTGCAGCTTTTTTTAGGATGTTTGTGTTTTAATTATGAGCAGGGAACGATCCCCAACACTTTAAAGAGCCGTAATGAACAAACTTAAGTAAGATGCATTTTAAAAACACATTTAAGTTCAATTCTCCTCAGTCGTATGAGCTATCTTGTTGCTCCGGAGAAACAAGACAAAGACGGTGTTTTTTTCTGTGTGAAACCACTTTAAATACGTATTTTTCAGGCATCTGTTCGGAATTTAACACATTTTGTTTAGGCATAGATACGGGCAGTTCTGGGGGTCCAAATAAAGCCTTAAGCGATCGGGGAGATTGCCGCTAAATTCTGCGATCGATACAAAGTCGTCTTTTTAAGTTTTTTATGAAGAAATATTAAAATATACAAATCCTTGTAAATGAGTTCTGTTATGTTGCTGAAGAAAATACAAAGGCTAACTTGTTCACAAAGGCTAACTCACACAAGCTAACTAGTGTCCTGGCCGCAATATTTTTTTTCGTCGGATCCTAGGGGAAGATCCCGCCTCCTTCGCCTCTGATTGGCTATGAAATGTCATCACACGCTCAAGCCGAGCGCGGCCTGTCGGCTCTGTATGTCGAACAGAACATTACAGAACATTATCGCAGATCTAAATCTCCTGACCCTGAACCTAATGCTGCATTCAGAAGTCAGATTTTGGAGCTGAAAATGACGTCACACCCGAGTTTATTTTAGCGCTTGCCTTTTATTCTGACAAGGCAAGAGCTAAGATAACTTTCGTAGATGTAGCCATCTTGTTTCCGCCTCCGATTTTGCTTTTTACCAACTTAGTAACTGAAACGCTAACCCGGTTTTACAGCCATGAGGAGTAACCAGTCAGAGCCCAGCACTTCTAGCCAATCACAGGCGAAGGAGGGCGGGACCTTCTCCCACCATCCTACAATTAAAAAATCATGTGTCCTGGCCTCGATCTCTAATCGGAGCATTAAAATGGATGGAGTGTCCGAACGTTTTCCAATAGTGACTAATATCTGAGATATGTTTGGTTCCTTGAGACTTGGTCAAAGTTCGTAAAAGATTCGGATTATAAGAAGTTCACAGCTGGACGAACTTGGATGTGCTGATTTTTCAACATGGTCTCAGTTCTTTGGGACTCTGGGCTGCTAAAAGAGATGTTCTGGGATCAGATCTGATGAAAGTAGGATGTAGTGTATCAGAATAATCCTGTAAATCCTCATTGTTTTGATGGCATGCCCACTTCAGAGCTTCATTTCCATCTTTGTTCCTTCTTTATCAATTAATGCATGTTTCTTTACGATGGCAGGCCACCAAGTCCTTCATTAATGAGTAAAAATGTCACTAAATCAGGCGTTTAATTTCCATTTCAAAAGCAGCCCATCACTCTGCATCTCTGTCACTCTCTGAAGCTCGGTGTCGTCCTCGCCTCTCTCAGCCCCTGACGGGTTTTTCTCTTTATACTCTGGAGGTAAGAACAAGGTCTTTGAGCCTCATTATGGCCGCCTTTCATCACCCATTCTCTGACATCTTTAAAACATGTATTCTCTCTCTCTCTCTGCCCGGGAGGACGGCTGCTACTCTTGATTTAGTTCAACAACACAAACACTGGTTCTCACCTGCCCCGACACCCCCCTTTCTCTTGTCATGTTATCTATTCATCAGTGTTTATGGGCTCAAACGGTGCCACACTCCTGGATGGCACACACACACACACACACACACCTTGGTATCGGGGTGACCCTCCTGCATTAATGATGCTCTTTTAAGACTCGGGTCTGTTTAGGATTCCTGTCAGGCTTTACTGTAAGTCACCTCTGACTGCTGCTGCTTCCTGATCAGGCCTGAGAGGAGCCACGAGCGCCGGCTCCAGAGATCACACTTCATCTTTGAAATGTATATTTCATCTCTGGTGTCGGCCCCCCCTTTGCCCCCTGGCTGAGCACCTTACAGACTCCGCTTGTTCTGTCACACGGCACGCACAAGTCTGACAGACGGCCGGACACTCGACTCAGATCAGCCTTACCTCTGCTCTCTGAGGGGGAGGGTTTTTTAGGTAGGTCGGAGAACCCGTGCCCGTCCATCTTGTCTTTTTTCTCAGCAGCTCTGGGTGCAGAAGTCTCCATGTTCAGCGTCTGCGTAAAGAACACAAAAGGAGATGTTAATGCTGAATGAGGGGGAGCGGACTCTCAGGAGCGGCTGAGGAGAAGGAGGTGTTAATTTGGGATGAGACGAGTACACTCAGGGCTCACTCGAGACCCACTCTGGAAGCAGAAAGAGGACTTAGATGTTCATGAAAAGGCTCATCAGGAGAAAACAGACACTTGTCTTGAGTAGGTTTGAGTTTTTTCTTTGTCCCGCTCTTCTCACAGTCATTTCTCACTGACAAACACAGATTCATGTTTTCACGGAGAGTCAGCTCTCCACGTCTCCTTTCCTCCACGACTCAATTAGCTCTCCGGCAGTTGAGGTTGGGGGTCGATGAGGGGGCTTTTGGAGGTTAAAGGTGACGGGGGATGAGGAGGCGGAGGTCTTAGCTCACATGTCATCAAAGTTTATTTGACTATTGACCTTTCTGCTCACAGCATTCAGGCGGGCTTTGTGGTCTAAACAGTTAGAACAATCGGAGTTTATCTTCAAAGCTGGTGGAGGAATAAAGACGGATTTAAACTCTTTATTCAGGTTTGATTATGTTACTGAGATTTTCCTCCAAATACAAACCCAGAGTTTGTGTTTTCATTCCCCCCTAATATGAGTCTTATTTTTATCTTTTAAATAATTTACTGTGAATTATCGGAGAAAGATCAACCAAGTTATAAAAAGAAGTTAGAGGTGATCAGTTATTTTCTCCTGTCAATCTTTTTTTCTTTCTTTGCAGAGTAAGAACCTTTTACGATGTTTTGCTCGTCGCTTTAAAATGACGTAGACGAAGAACGATCTCACGATTCTGCTTCGAGTGCAGGTTTATATTTCCACAGGTGTCCTAAACCTCCTACTGCCTCAGACTAACAACACGACCAGACAGACACAGGTCCTGAAGTTTGAGTTTACAGATCTGAACCTCTGACTGACTGACTGACTGACAGCTCTGTCTGCCGCCGTTACCGCCGCTGATGAATCAGTCGAACAGGTGTGAGAGGCCCGCAGTGAAGCCTCCTGGGAAGCCCCTCGCCACACACACAAAGCTCCTTTAGTTGAGGTGATATATGAGGGACATAATGGCGGTCTTTCACGCCTGCAGTCCTCTGATCTGTCCTCACAAATCATTATTAGTCAGGCTTAACATTTGCTGTTCGCACATTTAGCAGCTCGGTGATTGGAGCAGGATGGAACTCCGGTACGAGACAGAGGTCAGCTTTGTGCTCCAATCACCGGTGGTCATTTGTGAGAGTTTTCAAGCAGCTCGAGTGTGACTTCAGTTCAGATGCAGAAAGTAAAAGAAGAGCTTGTGGAGCGGAGAATCTAACAACCACGTTAGCAAGTCAACAGCTCAGTTAGCCGTGTAATTAAGCTCCACCTCCCACTGCTGACTGTAAACTCCCTTTGAGAGGACAAACAATGATTCATTTGACTATAATGGACCCTCACAATCAAGTCCTTTAAAGAGGAAGAAACCCCCCCTTTCTCTCAGCTCATTGTGTTCAGATCAATCGTCCTGTCGGTTCAGTTTTCTTTCAGGGACACAAACACTCACCTGTTGGTTTCAGATCATCTTCTCTGAGCGTTTGTGTTTGTTACAGTTTGTTACTGTGTTTGTTTGGACACTCAAACATTCATCCTGCAGAGTTTGTTGTTTCTGTAGTTTCACATCAGCAGTAAAACTCCCTCACATGAACTTGTTTTGTTTGGTAGGCCCAAAATGAGACTCCACCTTGAAGTTCACCCAGAAATACCAAAGTAAGTCCTCCTAAAGAAGAACACCTTTGACATGCCGTAAATTAACCGACACTCAGTGTGACACACATGATTTAGATTAGTCCCACAGAGGAATCAAACGTCTCGCACCGAGAGGGTATTTCCTGCGTCAGGAAAACAAATGTCTCTGCCTTCCAGGTGTAGTCGGCGTACAAGAGAGCAGTTCAGCTCATCACTGAATATTACCAGCAGCCACTGTCCCCCTGAATTATTAGAGCCGCTCTTGTCAGCCAAACAAATGAGTCTGTCTCTACTCAAAAGGTCACAGCGTAGCCGAGTAAAATCACAGTGCACGCAGTCAATTCCTCGGCGCGGCCCCCCCTTTTCCAAGGGCCACTTGCTGGAATTTATGGTCGGGCCCTACACCTATTCTCCTTTGAATAATAGCTATCCCATAAAAGAAGCCCAGGTCGGTGGCGAGTCTTAAATAGAATACAGCTCCGACCGCAGGGGGGTTGTTTATTGTGCCAGCAGCCAATGTACAAATAGAGGCTAACAGTGACATTTGAATTTATACTGACTCCCCACACTCTCCACTTGAAGAGGAGCAGAGACCTGAAAACAGAGGGAGAAGCTTCTGTATATGAGAGAGAGAGGAGCTTCTTTGTGTTGTTTAACCATTTGTTCTTTGGTCGAGGGCAGGAAACACAAAGACAAACAGATCCTGAGAGACTCTGAGTGAGTTTGTTTTCCTCCGTCTGTCAGTGTGAGCAGCTTCACACCCCTCCTCAGCCTGGATCTTCAATATCCTGCCACTGATCTCCTCCTGAACCTCCACAACAGCAAACAGATGTGGAGGCCCCCGCTCAGGAGGAGGAATCCCCGCTGCAGGAGGATCCGGCTCGGCTTCTGCAGAGCCTGACCTCAAGTTTGGTTTTATTTTGGAGGGGCATCGCCTGGAGGTGGCTTAATGCTTCCTGTGAGGATCTTCAGACTGTGGCGTACATTCATGCTTTCATCATTTACGTTATTTATAGAGACAAACTGGTGAATATTCAGTTCCAGCTGATTTGTACCTCTTTTCTGATTAAACGTCACAGTCTCCTCTTAGGTCCACATTTTCACCTTTTTCTGACAATAATTGAAAAATCAAACCTCAGGTCGTTTATTCAGCTTTTAATTTTAAGACCAAATTGATGCTCCTGAGGTGATTCTGCAGGAGAGTCAATGTGACAGTAAATCTTTACAAAGAGAAACAAAATGGAGAGTATTTTCAAACATGCAGGTCAGACTCAGACTCTTGATTTCCATCAAACCGAGTCAGAGGCTTTTTCAGACCATTTTATGCATCACTACTACATGTGTAATATCTCTTTATTTTTACTTATTAATCTATTTTTTATCTCCTCTTTTTACTGTTTTTCACTGGAGTTACTGTGACAAAAACACTTTCCTCCTGGTGATTATTAAAGTGTTTCTGGTTCTGGTTCTGGTTCCAGGACTCGAACAGAAACAGAGTTTGAGTTTTTCCTCTGTGCAGGGATCTTTTCTGTTTTTTCATCCTCTGATTTCTCTCTTCACCTTTTTCCTCCTCGGTAGTTTATGATCTGTTTGACTCATCACTAAATTCCCGCCATGTGTTCATCCCCGCAGTTCTCCCCGGCCGACGGCGTGAAGTCCTGACTGACCGCTGAGCTCTGACCGACCGCTTTGATCCCTGACCCGCCGCCAAATGGTCCCGACGCAGCCCGGGCCGCTCGCTGTTTTACGACCTCAGGTTGGACCACTCACTTCCTGGACCATTCCTTAAATCCAGCAACACCTTCTCCAGTAAGTCCTTCTTTAATTTTGATTCACGCCTCACAGACTCCGCCCTCTGACACTTTCACTCCTGATCGCAATGATTAAACTCGATCTGTCCTGTAAATCTGATTGGTCAGAGGTTTTCTACGAGTGTTCATGTTTCTACTTTAGCATCATCTGGACTTTGAGTCTTCACTAAAACATCCCGAGAATCTCTCTGACTCACAGTCTGCTACTCTCCTCTCTCTCTCTGTGTCTGCGGCGTGTTGACGCCAAAGAGGTGATGAACACCTGAGGAGCCTGAAGCGACAGAAGAGTTAAATCCTTGGTTAACTCTCTGTGTTCCTCTCACTCACAAGCTGGAAGTCAAACCATAGACTCCTGAAGTCTCGTCTGAATGAACAGTCAGAGACCTGTGGGACCCCGGGTTAGAACCTCTTCCTCTGCCAGGGGCCTCTGGAGCGTCCAGATTCCTCTGGACCCTCAGGGCCTGATTGAAAAGAGGAAGAACCTGGCTGAGAGGGAGACCGAACCCTCAGATCCCCACATGGTAAAAATGTTTTCATGTACGACGGCCTCGACTCAAAGTTTGTTATCCTCTTCAGCCGTCTCTCAGACGAGGAAGAGGCCGCGGCTCTTCATCAGCACGCGGCCCGTCTGTTCCTGCAAAGCTCTCTCACATGTGGCGATGAGCGCTCTGTGATAACAGGCGGGGAGAGATGATGATGATCTGTCCTCCACAGATCTGGGATCAGTCCCGCTCTGCACGTGTCAAAATGCCACGGCGGGCGTCTCTCTGCACAGCAGGAGGCATCCTTCATATCCTCCCTTGAAACACACACACACACACACACACACACACGCACACACTCACACACACACACACACACGCGTGGACTCCCCGGCTTGACTCGGTGCTGTCAGGCGTGATCGTGGCGTTCCCTTTGTCCCTTTAGGAGTTAATTAACACACGCATCAAAGCGGCTCCCTGAGAGCTATGGGTACACAGCGAAGAGGAGGAACTACAGGCCCCGAGCGGCCCCTGGACCTTTGATTTCAGATGTCTCTGGGTTTGTGTGTGTGTGATGCGGTTGCATTAAACACAGCTCATTTTCATCATGTGTAATTGCTGCTGCCTGAAAGCTGCTTCCCTCTGTCCCAGGACGTTTCTCACCCTGTCTGAAGGAGATTGAGAGTAACTCACTGAGTCAATGTTTGTGTGTCTGAGTGTGTGTGTGTGTGTGTGTAATGTAGCCCCTTCTCGACATGTTTAAGAATCCATGACTGGACCCGGTCTGTAGTCCGGACTTTGTCCTCGTGTGTCCCGGCTCTACGCTGCAGCAGCTCAAATAATCCGGCCCTCCCTGTGTTGACTCGCACTCGTGTTTGTGGTGATTAGTGAGGGTCAGTGAGAAAAGCAAACAGTGTAATCCACTCACACATAAAACCATAACACTGTAATCCACACACATACACTCACACACACTCCAGAAAGTGTGTTCAAACATGGACACACTCCAGCACGGCGTAGAGACGTGATGAAACATTTTCCTCGTCATCAATTCAGTTTTGATGATTTTGACTCTTCCTGAAATGATTGAAGTTTTAAATCAATTATTATTTATTGTAAAGCAGATAAATTTGTAGTTAAACTTTGGTTGAGGATTTCCCTGATGCGTTTACTTCCCTCCACAGCAGACTCATGAAAACACTGAGCTTTTTCAGTTTGAGTTTGTTTCAGTCCCTGAGGTTTTAGACGAGAACAGACTCGGCTAAAGTGTTTGTCATCACGGCTCTCGTAGGTGTGACTGAGCATTTCCACGCTAAATTGAAAACATACAGTGAGTTTTTTTCCCCTGTGGGTTCGGTGGATTTTCCTCTCCTGTTTGAGTTAAACCTCCGATGCTTCTTTTCTCCACTAAACCCACAAGGAACAACGGCCCCGGGGCCACACGGCGTAATTGGTGTGGGCTTGTTGTTTTGTGGGATAAGAGACTTTTGAGTCCTCACAGCAGGGAGTTTTACTCACTTCCAATTCACATTTATCGCGCCCTGCATGCCAGACTCCTTTCTTTCCTCTCCTTTTTTCCTCTTTTTGTGCTCCGAATCCTTCGTTTCCCCGCGTTTTGCAGTCATTAAACTCTCCACAGAGCTTCCACAGAATCAGAGCAGCAATCAGGGCTGACGGGGAAGCTGGCCGCGGGGGTGGAAACGTGTGAAACTGACAGCAGCGAGGGGAAGGCGCTCGGGGCAGGATGAAAGTGACATCCCCATCACAGGTTTGGGAAGCCCCCATGTCATCCTGAATAATGTGAAGGGCCCCATTATTTCTTCACATCTTTCCACCCTCCTCCTCTCCCTCCACTCCCCTCCTCCCCACTCCCACTCCCTGACTGCTGGAACTCTTCATCCTGCACAATAGCTAATGCACTAAAACTTTTTTTCTGATGCAAATGAACGCAACCGGCCATTCAGCGTTCAAAAATCGACCGAGGAGAAGGAGCGCAGAGATTTTCAGATGGGTTTACTCCACCAGAGCAGACAAATACACCTGACTGATAAAAAGAGAAGAGCTGAGAGGCCCTTTCTGTTCAAACCGCTCAAAAATACTAACACTGAGGAGCTTTTTTTTTAGTCAAACCTTAAATTTGATATTTTAAATCATTGGATTATTTGGATTTATTGACTATTTTTAGATATTTTAGTTAAAAGTGAAATTTAAAAGCAGAACATAAACTTTCTGTAGGCGTTAAAAATCAGTCACAGCATCTTAAATATCCGGTTACAGATTCCTGAGATTCCACAGTCAGTGTGAACCTCCAACAACCTGAAATAAGAGTTTAAATTTTTAAGTGTTTTTGTTTTTCTCTGTACAACATGAGATCAGTTCTGTTTCATCAGTGATGTTCAGGAGAATTTCAGAAAAGTTTGAGACATTTCGAGAAGACTAAAAGGAGAAAAACTGAAGTTAAAATCTGGATTAAGACGCGAGAAACAGAGTAAAAGTTAGAGTTTTTGTGTTGAGAGTCTGAGCACATGGCACAAACTCACACTCACCCCTCTGTCCCTCCTCTCGTCCCGGGCTGAGATCTGTCCGGACACCTCTCCTCTCCTCTTTCCTCCTCTTTTCTCCTCCTTTCACTCTCGTTCAAGTCGAACTTTTTCTCTCCGCGATGAAAACAGAAGAAAACAGAAATCCGCTGAAAACATGAAATCCCATCTAGAGCAGGACGGAGCTCGGAGCAGAGCGCGTCATGTGGAGAAGTTTAGTCCTCGGATCAGAAAGAAAAGAAAGTTCACTTCAGAGTCTTTGAACGCATCACGGATCCTCCCGACTGAAGGAGAGACTCAAAGAAGTGAAGGACCGGAAAGTACCGGAACTTTTCATCACCGGGATGATGATGATGATGATGCTGCCGCGGAGGAGCGCCGCGAGGAGAGACTCCTGCCTGACGCGCAGTTTTCTACCGCGCACACCCCCACCCTTAACTTCCTTACCCCTCTCTCTCTCTCTCTCTCTCTCTCTCTCTCTCTCTCTCTCTCTCTCTCTCTCTCTCTCTCTCTCATATAACTCAATTCACTTTAATTCAGTTCAATTCACAGGACGACAGTAGCGTGAAAAAAAAAAAAACACAAAACAGACTTTTATTTTGCCAAAAAGACAGAAAATTAAAAACATTAAATAAAAGGCGAAAAAGAAAAATAAGCATTTTTGTTTTAGTCACTTAAAGGTTTAAATTTACACCGTTTTAAAATCATCAAATACATTTTTGTATTTATTCTTATTTAATTGGTGACTGTGTAAACTGATTTTTTATATTTTGATATTATGGAGTGACTCTGTGTCTCTGAGGGTTTAAAGGATTTTGTATTTTATGGGTTTATTCACTTTTATGTTATATGGAGTTAATTCAGATTAATACAGATTATAGACTGTTCCTCAGCAGGTTAAATACACTGGGGTAATGACAAAATACCTCCATAATCAAACATGTTTAGACAGATAAAATCAATTATCTGCCCATCTTAAAATATCTTGTGTAACTAAAGAATGATGGTTCAGTATTTAGAGCATTTTCAGCTTTTTCTGGGTTTACCAGCATGTTTTCTAAAACTGAATGTTAGTATATTTAGAGCATTTTCATCTTTTTCTTGATTTTTCCAGCATGCTGTTAAACCAGTGAAGTTCCTCCCTCTGTTTTCTAAAACTAAATGTTAGAATTTCTTTCACAGTTTGCATAATATTTAAGAATTACTGCTATAAACACACAGATCGTAGTCTACTGCTGTGTGAAATGAAGATAATAAAGGAATAAAAGTCAGTGTAAAAGCTGGAGATCTGCAAAAATGAGGCACGAACATTACAAAACCAGAACAAGCACATAAGGTGATTTTAAAATAATTTTACTTCAATATTAAAATCTCTGCTACATCTCAGAATATGACAGATGACTGATTCAGATTAAAGAGTACCAAAAAGCACAATAAGGTTGTCATTAATAGATCATTTTAAAAGAAGAGATTCTTTATTATTAATTAAATGAAAAAGTCAATTATAAAGTTTAGTGTTTCTTTTCCTCAGTTGGTCCTGTTTAATACAGAGAGTGGATGAAAACTGCTGCAGTTTATTAGATATTAATGTGAGGACCATGAAACAGTCAGGTGGGATATCCTCTGATGAGCTGTGTGTGTGTGAGGGGCCTCTGTCCTCAGCATGGGGGTTTCAATCTGAAATAAAACGGTGACACCTACTGGTAGTTTGAGAGAACTGCATCCGTTTATCTCTGGAGCCTTTTTCTGGATCTATGTGAGGAGGATGGAGTAAATTTAGATTTTTGTCTCTCTTTACTGTTTTGGTTCATCAGTCCAAAGTCTGATGGTCAAATTAAAAGGTCACAGTAGACGTTTCCTTTGAGTCTCTGAGTTTTAATAAATCACTGATAGAGGTGAGCACAGAACAGACTTTGTTATAAAGATTTGAAAACAGCGCCCTCAGGTGGACAATTTCTAAAACAACTATTCTCTGGACACGCGAACATGCTGTATTTCTGAACTGACCTCTTTCTTACTGTTATAAAGTTATAAGAGTGATTCAGTTTTAGTTTTTGTATCTTATCGTTGCAGCTGTGCATGTCAATATTATCTTCTCCATTCAGGTGAGAAATTAAACTCAGCTCCTGATGCATTATTTATTTTTCTGAAGAGGATTTCTCACAAAAACAAGAACTCACCATTCGATATTCGTCTTTTTTCACTTTTTGTTTTTTGTATTGTGGAGCAATGTTCAGGTTTTGGCCTATAAAGCTTTGGTGAGAATCATAATATTATTATAAACATGTTCCCCTTTGTGCGGTGGTTTTTTCCTCTCTTGGAAGAAGTGAGTGACCACCTGCAGCCTGATCAGTCTGGATCAGTGTGGCCTCCAGCTCGAGTGAAATGAAATGAAAATAAAACACGGAAGTTAAATCATAACTGTTAAAAAATGATGGTATCACTTGTAGCTCTGCCATATGGAAGTCATCTTCTCCGTGAGCTAAAATAATATACAATATCTTTTAAAACTGTTGCGTGAGAAATCTTTTCCCCCATGGTGCCATCTGATCCTGATGACTTCCACAGACGTGACTGTGTTCATATCTGTCCTCGCTGTGGGAAAACTGGGGAATCGGACTGATCAACGTTTATATTCATGGATGTCAGAGAGGCTGCAGACGGAGTTCAGACCAGAGTTTAGACTTTTACAGCGCTCCTGAGTCCGGCTCTAAGAGACAGATAGGAACTTTTATCTTACATCTCTGAGGCTGTGTGTTTTTATTTAGTGCATGTATGGAGGAGAAGCTCAGTTTACTACAGTTCCCAGAATGCCAGGGTCTGATGTTACTTCCTTTAGTATAGTTTTTGTGTGTGTTATCGGCAAGCCAATTTAATCGGCAAATTTTAGCCCGTTTGAGACTAATCGGTAATCGGCCAAAACTCGCCGATTTTCGCCGATATTTTCAGAAATAAAATGCAGAGAATAAGATTCGATTTCACGTCGAAAATGTTCCGCCATTTTCAAAGTTCCCTGACTTATCCAGTAGATGGCGCATCGATCTCATGACAATCTTCATCCACTAACAGCACAGCAGAGTGAGGATCTGAAGCAGGCAGCTCAGGGACGCACGGAGGAGAGTGGTCCGCCTCAACGGTAAATAAACCAGTTTGTGAAATACACAATAAGTCAACAAGTTTCAGTTCAACCCACTTCACCATGTTCCCCGCTGTGCTGGTCTCGGTCACGCCGAGTTAATGGTGAAGCACTATGTAATATGCAAGCTAACGTTAGAGTTAGCCATCTGTTATTAGCCTTGCTACACTGTTAGCATAAATAGAACAGACTCATCATCAACCAGAGATGGAGACAATATAAGTATACATAAAAGAAAAGAAACATGAACATAACAGATAATGACGTGTTGCAGACATGATTAGATGAGATTTCAATGATATTTTAAAGGATTTTAAGGAAAATATTGATTTTAGAGATACATAAAAATCATTCCACAGAAAGGTAACTGAAGATGGCCATTTTGTCTTGTTGAGTACGGGTGAAGGCCAGATGAGACGGTAAAAAAGTTTCTGAAGGAGTCAGAAAGGTTTTGTTTCCTGTTGATGAACTTATGGACAAACAAACAAGAGTGAAAGACATCTGTCAATCAGTAAGATGGAGTATTGAGAAAATAATTAGAATAATTAGAATAATAATTCGGAGATCAATATAAGGAAATAGGAAGCTATAATTCAAAGACAGGTGAGCAGAGGGATTGATCAGGGGACAGACCTTATTAATTATACTGAGGCTCTTCATTGACCTGATTGATTTTCTTGATATCCAGTAAAAATCTAACATGATTTCAGAAATGTATCGAACACTTTTAATCAAGAAAACAAACAGCTGATTTTAGGAAATAAAACAGTCAGAGAAGTTTGAGTTGATGACTCAGAGACAGTTGGTAAGTGATCAGCTTTATTGATGACATCTTTCTGGATTCTTTCAGAAACATCTTTACGTTCTTCCTCTGCACTCTGGTTATTTTCGACTCTCTGACAGTGATCACCTGATCACCCGTCCGTCCGTACCTACGTGAACCGTCTAAATACTTCCTGCTGTATTTATTTTTGTTCTATTTCAGACCGGGTCCACGTCGGTCTCAGCTGTGACTCTGCCGCTTCACTCCTCAGTCTTCGAAAACACATGTTGGACGACCCTCGACCTTTAATATCCGCTCACTTTATTTGGCGCGTCCCCCTCCTCCCCTGCCTCCCCCTCCCGCTCCGATGCGTATTAAATCAGATATGCTGAATGGAGGAACAGCTCCCCCCTCCTCTGTCACCTCTTACTTAACCCCCCCGACCCCAGGTTCTCTAAAGTAAATTGATTTAGACCCGAGTCTCCTCTGTGTTTGCTGTGACTGACCGGGCGGCTCTATTGACCTTAATATAGGAGAGCAGATTAATACACAGCCCCCTCTCCTGGCCCCTTTTTACTGTTGTTTCACATTGGAGGGGTGACGACATCAAAAAAACAGGAAGCAGCTACGTTTGAGGACAGACTGAGACTTCAGACCGTCGCTCCACCAACAGTAGGGGTGAGCGTTTGGTCTAGGATAGAGCAGTGGTTCTCTACTGGTCTCACTCTGGACCCACATTTTCCCATGGTCCTTAAGTCGCAGCCCACTTTTATAAAATTCAAACCAAGCAAATTTATTTATTTATATATTAAATAAAAAAACGTTTAAAGACTCAAATCTTTGACATAAATACACTGTTTTTATTGAGTAAAGTGCATTTAAGAGCACATGAACTGAGAACGACAACTACTGAAGCTCCTGATACAGAAAAAATGGACATAAGTGAATAAATATCGAATTACACAAAATAAAGACCATAAAAAAACATGTAATTTTCCTGCATTCAGGCCACATTAATACCACGACATAATGCATGCCTTTCTAAAGAAGCTATTTTTCAAAATAAAAGAAATATCAAACATCAGATTCGCATTAAATATTTACTTTTTGGACCAGCTGTTTACCACCCATCCAGAACGTGTCCACGACCCACTTTTAGGGCTGGATCCACCAGTTGAGAACCACTGTCAGTGTTCGTTTTAGATTCTCAAAGTGGTCTTGAACCTGAGATCCTCTGATGAACAGACCGACGGAGGAGCAGACACTCGTCCTCCTCCGTCTGGGAATGCATGTCATCTTCGCCCTCGTTAGTTTGAGTCAGAAAAGCCGAGTTTGCTCACGGCTCAGATTGTCTCGTGTTGGAGTCGGTTTCCATCTTTGTGTAATATTTCATGACGTGTGTGAAAAGGCTGTTTACATGAGCTACAGCTCGACAGAGAAGACTTCACTCTTTTTCAAT